AAGCAGGCTTCAAGAAAGGAAAATGTTTCTCTGCCGGGCCAGAAATGAGACCTGAGAATTTCCACGCTGTGGCGGGAAAGGCTCGCAAGCGACACAATGCCCACTTCCATGTTCGGGGTCAGATATTACTTCTCACCGCGACTCAAGTCAACCACGGAATTTGGCATGCCTTGCGTTGTAAAACCCGCCTTAGGAGCAACCTATGTGTATCTCGGGCTTCTTCAAGGGGATCAGGCGGATTTCATGTGCTCTTCTACTTTGACCCGAACGTATAGTGGATTGAGATGATGCCGCGTTACTACGACACATCGTCAGAAACGAACGGTGCAGCCTAAGGACCAAAGACTAGGAAAGGATACGGAATGTGTGCTCCTCGTCTTGTCGTTTTACGCACGCAAATCTTTCGCATGCTCGAATGCCCAAAAGCTAGAATGCGGGTTTCGATGTGTATTCGTGTGGCTCAAAGAAGAAAAAAAAACGAGAAACACGCGATGTGTTCGTCCGCTGGAACCAAAAGTCATGACTCACGAGATCATGTTTTGTGTCCCTGGACTGGATTATTAATGGGCAAGTCTTGAAATACCTCCGAAGTCACAGTGTTTCTTCTCCTGTCCATAAAAGCCGAGCAGAAGAAGTAATGGCGTTGTCAAAATCTCGACGAGCCCGGTCATGCCCGTTGCTGCCGTTCAAAATTTGTCGAGCAACAAGAAATGTGCTTTCCTGCTAGCATCAAAACCTACCTAGGTACTCGTGCCTGTCTTTCCTTTCCGAAATCCAGAAAACGGCAGGATATGTGTCCCTCTTCTGGGCCCAAACTTCACTCGCGGGTAAAACTATGCTCCCTGTGCCAAAAGTTTTGGCAAGATCTGCCATGGAGATGTTAACAACGAGTCACGATTACGCATCATGCTCTCCGGGGGACGCATAAGCAAGCCCACGATCGTATGGCGCGTCTCAAAGTACTCCTTCTCACGCCACATGCCCGTCGTCTGGCGTCCAAAACACTTACGACCATATTCATGTGGGATCCTTGTGTCGTATTGAACTGGCATGCCGCGCCAGAAACAGCAGCCAAAACCTCCCATGTCCTTTTCCGGATCCCCGCGAAAATTACAAAAAAAAAGAGTAATGTGCTCCTTCCTTCGACTAGACTGGTGTATTCACCCCCGAACCGCTCCTTCCAATGTCTGAACCCTTCCCTACATGTCTTCCTGGAACCAGAATGACTGCACATTAGGTATGTGTCGTTCCCCCCGGCATCCCGAACAAGGATAGAAGGATGGACACAGTCATGGTATGTCCAAAATCCGTAGTCTGAGTACGTCATGTCTCTTGTGCTCCCGAAACCGTCGATGTTCAGCCTGACGGCTTCCCTCCGCTGGAACCGAAGCGGATACGCAACTCGTTCATGCTGCGCGGCTGCCTTCGGAAGTTGAAAACACCGGCGAGCGATACGATGGGTTCCTTAGTGGGAGGGACAGAGCTTATATCGCTCGCTGGATAGAGGCCTTGCGATGCAGTCTTTTTGTTAGAAAAGGCAGGGGAGGGCCAAAGACGTCGCTGGGACATTCCATGTTGTGTGCTCTGGACCCGTCTTTGAAGACCAAAAGACCCACCAAGAGAATCTATGGCTTAACCTGCGCGCAGAGCTTCTATGCTCGTCGTCATCACCAAGGAACGATACTTACTAGCACCTCAGAGCAAGACTAAGTGAAAATCCATGTCTTTCTGGATATTTCGCGGACTGGAAACGACATGAAGGAGATGTTAAGGGATGAGGTCCATCCAGAATATGATGGGCGGTATGGTGGGCGGTAGTGGAAGGGGCGACGGAGACTGCAGGGTGGTTTTGTGAATTGCCAGTAATATCATTATGTGATTTGACACTGTCAAACTGGCATTGAAGCTTCGGAGTCTCTATCCGCGTTGAACACTATACTCATGAAAAACACCCCTGGTGCAGTCCGAGTGCCGAAATCATGACTGTGCCTGTGCGTCGTGACTTTGATAAACCATCTCAAGCACCATTCTTCGCCGGAGCAGCGGCACCGAATCCACCCGTGCTGCCAAAGCCTCCTGCGCCTCGTACGCTCTCTTCGAGCTTCTCCACGACCACCACCTCGGGCATGGCGATCTAAACCTCTGTTAGCAAACCCATTAGACATCCACCAACCGTAATGCAACACACCTTCTCAACGATCAACTGCGCAATCCGATCGCCAACCTTGATCTCAAAGTCCGTCTCGCTCAAATTCGCCAATATGACGCCCACCTGCCCGCGGTAATCCGCGTCAATCACCCCCGCCATAGTGTCAATACCGTGCTTCGCTGCGAGCCCTGACCGCGGGGCCACACGTCCGTCTACACCACCACCATCAGCAATTGTCTTTTTCGTTCTTCCCACAAAAGCCACTTACATGTCCCAGCCGGCACCGCAATCGAAATATCCGTGTCTACCCTCGCCCGTCCCCGTGCAGGAATCACAACATCCCTCGCGCTGTACAGATCATGTCCCGCCGCGAACGCACTCCCCTTGGTCGGCGCCCTCGCCTTGTCGCTAAGCAGCTGCACCTGGAGCGCTTGTTCGGCGGCGGCGGCGGCTGCAATGCTAGGTGCGATCGGGGCGGGAGGCTGGAGGGCCATGGCGAGCGGTGTGGGTGTTGACGTGCCTGAGTCGGAGGCGCGGGGTAGCGTGGAGTGCTGGTTGAGGGTGGAAGGCTCGATGACCTTTGTGCGTTTTGGGAGGGGCGAGGATGGGAGGGAGGGAGGCTCGTGGGTGGGGGCGGGTGTCTGGGCGGACATTGTTGTGGGAGTGGGAGGAATTGAGGTCGAAGGCGGTGAGTGAGTGAAGACGCGCGTGGTGGGGCAGGGGAACGCGTCGCGCGTTCGGGCGCGTTGATTGGTTGGGGACGGGACGGGGGTCTTCAGGAGTTGTTTGAGGGGCATCAAGACTTCAATTGAGTGTCAAAGAATCAGTTGACCACAAATAGGTTAATTTCTTCCATTGAGGTGGTTGTGGAGGTGGTTGCGTCGGCTTGCTCCTTCCCTTTGGAGCGCCAAGAGCCTTGACGTGTTGCGAACATTTCCACCGATCAAAGTCGACCCTTCAGCGACTTTTCGACAATTAAGACGTGCTATGGAAAGGTGAGTAACTGACTTGAGGGTAGCTTAGGTCTCGGTACTGATTCTGGTGTTTTGTAAGGGTGCAGCTAGGCAGATGCGGATACCTTGCCAGAGGTGCGGTACCGGCGGGCTACACTACAGTAACAGGACCCAGGTTCTGTCAGGATCCTTCGCGGACAAGTGTGGTCAGCAAAGTCGGGTCGTTTGCAATCGCCATGCGTGACGGTAGAACGGCGGCATGGCCCTTGCAAGCTCCCGAAGCTGCTGGACGAATACTCGTTCATCGCCCGTCTCCCAACACATGGCACTTAGTGTGTACGCAGCCATTCGCGTGGCATCTGTCAGCATCTCACGATCTCCACGTTTCCACGCGCCCGTGGTTTGGTCCAGATTTGCTTCAGCCCCAGATCTTGCCGATTGTTGCCGGCATTGAACTCAGTCCCCACGTTCGATATTGAAATTTTCTCAGTAAGGGGTCTGTGTTCCTCGTCAACTCCAGACGTTTCTAGCACACTATTAATATTAGAAAGCGTCAGACCACCGTCAGCACCGAGGTCCAGCAGCTTCTCGATCGCGTGACCGGAAGGGACTGACTTTGCGGCTCTGGCCTTCCCCACCCACAGCAGAGCCTCAAGGTCGCTAACGCGGAGACGCCGAGATGCTGCCTAGCGCCCCCCGCTATCCGGCCGGCATTTGACCAATCCCGGCAGCAACTACTCGCGCTGCTTGCAGACTACAGAATCCGCCCGACAGACTCTCCAGAGCCTTGGCCAATGCTTCGATAGCTTACGGCGAAGGCCAATGAAGCTTGTGCTAGCGCACGAAGACTTTGCCATGCACAAGTTGCCCGTGGGCATCTAGCGGAGCGCGGAGCACACCCCGCCGTCTCTCCAACCTTTGAGCGCTACACCGGTCGAGACTCTGCGGTTCATTCCCTGCCCCATCGTGAGTGGACATCGGACAGCAAAGCGAGCCTCCATGGGGTTTCTCTAGCTTCGGTCAGTTCTCCAAAAGGATAGTGCCCGTTCTCCAGTGGCTGAGATGAGTGTTGAGAAGCAAGTACGACAAACCTGCAGCGGCTGAGTCCGTGGCAGCTGTTCTTTCGCTTTGCTATGTCAGCATTACAGCGTACGATCCTCCCCTGGAACCTTCAGTACTCCGGACGACATCACGAGGTCGAACAATCAGCAGCCGCTTTGTCGTCGGAAGCGCCAATAGAATCCAAGGCCCATACACATCGGGCAAGCTAGATCCCCGCAGTTGGCGCGTTCTGGACGCTAAGCACTGACAAGAAGCTGATCTTGAGCTTGATCGCGCCACAGGCGTCGCTTCACCGTCCTGGCGGCACATGGCTCGCAGATCTTGCGTCATGATTCGTGATCACAATGGTACATGCAGTGCTTGCTTTTATTGCCCATGTTTTGGGCGATTGCGTCGGCGATTGTGAAGTTCAAAGATGAATGATGGAATGTCGCGCCTGACGTGCCGACTTTGCAAATGAAACTCCGTGGGGCTGCCCCTCAAAACCCCGAGGTCGCTATCCCATGGTACGGTGAGACGCATCGATCTAGGGCTTCCTCCAGTGGTCCAAGTCCCCACGCTAACAATGCACTATGCATACGCCTCCCCGTCCGTTCATACGGCCACTGTTTGAAATCATCCAATGGCGGCTCTAGCGCCATTGCTCCATCATTCCAGCCTCCGATGGCTTCGCGGCCCATGGGCCTCCATGTTTTGCAGGGCCCGAGGGAAAGGTCTACTTAAAGGCCCATGAAACCCTTCCCGGAAATCATCAATCATCACTCCACGCTTTGTGTAGCTCTTCACAGTTCGGCTCATCAACCTCCTACAAACGTTTTTGGGACTGATCGCCACACATGGGTCTCATGTTGAAGAAGCCCGAGGGCTCTGCTGGTTCAGCATGGCCCTCCATTCTGGTTGGGTTGTTCGTTGCTTTCGGTGGCGTACTTTTCGGGTAGGATGACATCTCGTCTCATCTGCATATCAGTCGTTGACCCTAATCCAGTTATGATACCGGTACCATCGGCGGAATTATAGGCATGAAATATTGGCGCAACCAGTTCTCTACCGGCTATATCAACAAGACTGATGGCGGCCTCGACGTTACGTCAGCTCAGACATCCGAAATCGTTTCCATCTTGTCCGCTGGCACATTCTTTGGAGCTTTGACTGCTGCCCCCGTAGCTGATGCCCTCGGTCGACGGCTCGGCCTCGTCGTTTGCTGTATCGTCTTTTGCGTCGGAGTCATCCTGCAAACTGCAGCGACGGCCATCCCCATGTTTGTAGCCGGGCGTTTCTTCGCGGGCTACGGTGTGGGTATGATATCTGCTACAATCCCGCTTTACCAGTCAGAGACCAGCCCGAAGTGGATTCGTGGTGCAATCGTCGGCTGTTACCAGCTTGCAATCACCATCGGTCTTCTGCTTGCCGCCATTGTCGACAACGCGACCAAGAACCGCAACGACAGCGGATCTTACCGCATTCCCATCGCCGTCCAGTTCGCATGGGCTATCGTTATCTTCGTGGGCTGCATCTTCCTACCCGAAACTCCACGCTGGTACGTCAAGAAGGGACAGCCTGAAAAGGCAGCCCGCTCCCTTTCCAAGCTGAGGAGACTCGATGTTGAGCACCCTGCTCTGTTGGAGGAATTGGCTGAAATCACCGCCAACCACGAATACGAGCTCTCCCTGGGCAAGTCCACCTACATTGATTGTTTCAAGGGCAATCTCGGATTCCGCCTGCTCACCGGTTGCTTGCTCCAGTCGCTTCAGCAGCTTACTGGTGTCAACTTCATCTTCTACTATGGCACAAAGTTTTTCCAGAATGCGGGCTTCACCAATCCTTTCGTCATCTCCATGATTACCTCCGCCATCAACGTCGGTTCCACATTCCCTGGACTTTACATGGTCGAGAAATGGGGTCGCCGCAACCTCCTCCTCTTTGGCGCCATCGGTATGGCCGTCTGCCAATTCATCGTCGCCATCACGGGTACTGTTGTCGGAACCAGCAACTCAGCTGCACAGAACGCCATGATCGCCTTCGTCTGCATCTACATCTTCTTCTTCGCTTGTTCTTGGGGCCCTGTAGCCTGGGTCGTCACCGGCGAGATTTTCCCGCTCAAGGTGCGCGCCAAGTCGCTCTCCATGACCACCGCATCCAACTGGCTGCTCAACTGGGCCATCGGCTACGCAACTCCTTACATGGTGGACTCCGGGCCAGGCAACGCCGACCTCGGCGCAAAGGTCTTCTTCATCTGGGGCGGCTGCTGCTTCATCTGCATCTTCTTCGTCTGGGGCATGATCTACGAGACGAAGGGCCTCGCCCTCGAGCAGGTCGACGAGCTCTACGCTAAGGTCCCGCACGCGTGGCAGTCAAAGGGCTTCGTGCCGTCTGTGTCCTTCCAGGACGTCCAGCAGGCGCGCGCGGACAACAGGCACTTCTCGCTCGCGGAGATCGAGCAGGAGGCTACCCGCAAGAAGAGCGTGCAATACACCGAGGGCGACGGCAACTTCCCCGAGAAGACTCTCCAGTAGAGCAAGCAGGTGCAGGCAAATCTTTCTTTTCTGAGTTTATATATATTTTGAGCGACGCGTAGGGCACGCGGCTTGGGTTGTAGATGTGAGAGCTTCCGCGTGTGATGTATATGACGAGATTCTTCCTGTATCGATGACGAATATACGAATGATACCATCAATCCAAACTATTCAAAATTAGTTGCTGTGTCGCACAATCTTCTAATACATCTTATCACATCACAGCTTTACAACTGCTCTCGCAACAACCGTACTCGTGCTCCCAAGGTGCCAAGCCCCATCACATCTTCCCTCCACCAACCCTCCCCTCCGCGGAGCGTGCTTCACATGCACGACCTCCCGAACCCAACGCAGCGCGCAGCTGAGCGAAGCGACGCGCCGCCGAGACGCGCAAAGCAGACTTGCTCGTACGCCCCGGGAGCTTACCTGGTAGTCTGCGCTAGCGGCTTTGATCGCCGCACATGGCGTCGATGGCGCGGCGTTCCCCGCGTTGATCGGCGGGGAAGGTTACGAGGTGGCTGGCATGTTACGGTGCTGAGGGTGGGTGTGGTTGCTGGTAGGGCCCTAGGGTGTGGTGTGCAGTGCACGTGGAAGGGTGCGGATAGGCTGAGGGGCAGAAATAAACTGCACGTGAAACTGTGCGGATGGCTGGGTATGGGCGAGGATGTGGGAGCACTGCGATGTTGTGTGAGGATGTGGAGGGTTAATTTCCGCGTTTGCTTGAGCGAGGAAGGGGTAACTTGTTGATGCGCGGAAGTGGTACTTGTGAGAGAGTGCGACGTTGGAGTTGGTGTCGTGCTGCGCTGTGCTGCTCTTTGGTGGTAAGGGTTATGCACGATCGGGACAGGGGGAAGTAGTTGAAAGTAAGTAACCCCATACGCACCAACTCTAATGATACACATCGGATTTTCCACGCATTGATCCCGCGCGTGTTGGATGCGGCTAATAAAAAGATGCAGAAATCTATCGCGAGGTGCCTGGGGCGAGGATCCCTGGGTGAGTGAGGACGTGTTGCTGGACTTGGCTGTATGGCAACTAATCACTACCTTTCAGAAACATACTGCAGAGCTACGGGCTATGGAAGAACCAAAGTCTAATCTATAGAAGACTTCTCTATTAGTCTATCCGGGTTGCGAAGATGAATCGACCACTCCCTCGCCCATTTAGTCGCTCGCCCGTTATAGTCTGTAAGATAATGACGCATAGATATGTTCAACCATTACACTCGCTTGACATACGATATTGACTTCAGAGAATTAGGAGAGGGGATCAATATTCACAATGCGATCTGGAACAACACTAGTTTATCATACTAACCTTTGGGCCAATTTGGCCAAATTATGACACGCCACGATACTAGATACTTGTAATTTTCATCATGCTGGCCAAATCAATGATGAAAGAAACTAAATTTACAGACCTTGCTTCAGGCACAGATTCAAGCTAAAAGAGATAGTCATCTTCAACTGAACTAAACCAATGATAATCACGAGCCGAATTGATCATACCGCAGTATCCGCCGCAACGGGATCCATGATCATATCCAAGTCATATCCATCCCCCACAAGCAGATTGTACGAAGACAATGGATCGAACGATTCCATCAAAGACTGAGCTAGGTCTGAGTCATATGGGTGTGACGTTAGATCAGCGTGACCAGCATCCTTACTAGACTCTGGCGCTACGGAACATCCCAAGATGGAATGCTCAGTGGTCTCTAGCTGTTCGCGCCTAAACATAGAATATTGTTCTCCACCAATTAGACTTTGATCCGGGCAGGTATTATTGATGCTTTCAAGCTCTTGGCGGATCTTCTGCCTCTTCGGGGCGGCGTTTGCGAAATTGTCCTCTTGCGGGGACTCGTCAACCGCTTCCATACCACTTTCTCGGAGGCCCAACAACTGTACGCCATGGTCTAAAATTGGCCTTTCGACCAAGAAGGCACGCTCATGATCTGAATTTCCCATTAGAGTATCTCGAAGAATGGTAGGGAAGTCCCGATCTTCGGGTATCTTGGCCTTGCTCAAACTTAGATCAATTGTCAAAGTTAAGCGGAGACAGAAGCTTGGCTGGTGACTTAAGAGATCGGTCCAGCTATTTGGGATTGGAGCTGCGTGAATTTGGGCAATGTTGACAACGTAACGAAGCGCGGAACTTAGCCACTCGATGCCGTCGTACCGCGGTCGATATACTTTCAAGACCTGGTTGAGCACCTCGAGGCGGCGGTGTCTTGCTTCGAGGTCAAGAGCAGACGTCTCCGAGCAGAGAAACTTGGCGTCGAGGGCATAGAAGAGTAATGGAATCGCTATAAATGCCAGCCTAAAGGATTCAGTCTGCGTGACAGAATGTCCAAAGAAATCTACTTACGCGCTCAGCGGTAAGTAACGAGTAAGATCTAGCTGTACAAGTTCTTTGACACATTCAACTGCGCCTAATGCAGCCTCTTGCACGTCTCGGCACCTTTCGTAGCTGGTGGACGAACCTAAAGCAGATGTTTGGGGCTGGTAGCAATTGAGAAGTACGTCTTGGCGGGCAACGATTGATTGAGCAGAGCTACAGCACGAATGTGTCAGAATCATCCCGTAAGCATTCAGAGAGTAGGGGGAGTAATACTAGCAGGCTATGAGTAGTAGATTCGTGTGAACAATAGCGGAATGTTGGCGGAATCCAATACTGCTATTCGATATGGTCATCTCGTGTCGAAGATTGTCATGCCACTTCCGCAATGCGAGCTTGCAATCTCTTAAGGTGCTTGCCCGTTGGTCCTGGCAGTCGGAAAAATCATCTGATGGACATAGCAAGAGAACATTCGTCATAATGTTGGCGAGATGGGTGGCCCTGATAAAGAGGCGTACTAGAAGCTGTTTTGTCTCGAAACTGTGAACTTTGGAACGACTCATTTCGCTCTCGAAGTCAGAAATATACGGACACGGCTGTGATTTGATCACTTGAAGCTCTCGCTGTAAGCCCAATGCCATGCAGCGATCACGAAGCACACAACTCCACCAGAGCCTCCTTAGCATTTGGCCTTGTCGTTGTGGAGCAACTTCAGACAGCGACCTGGGGGATTTTTCCCATGCAAGATGGGCATCTATGAATCGAGCGTTCTGTATGGCAATCTGAAGCCACATCGAGTTAGTGTTTATCGGCTTCGATTCATGAGGACACCACAGTGTCATCAGCACAGCGGTTTGAGAGATCGTAAGGGGTGAGTCCTCAGTAGAGAAGTCATAGAGGAGCTTGTAGCAATTCATCAGTCCGTTGACCCAGGATGTAGTCAAAGATTAAACCAACCTTTGCGTTTCGATAAAATATCGATCTCGCCGATCGAAGTCCGTCATATCCTAGAGACTCGATTACTGCCTCGGGTACAAACTTGACGTTGATTTAGCCATAACACCAATTGATGTAAACAGGGATAGTGAGCTCACACTGCAAGATGCAAAGATCATCGCTCTGAGCAGCAATAGGGAAACTGTATAAGTTCGGCCGGCACGGTTGTCTTCCGGATATGCGCTCCAAAAGTCCCCCTCATCGAGAAAAGGCAAGAATGGATGCACGTGAAGAAAATACTGACGAACGAATTCATCGAGTATTGATTTTACGGGAATATGTAGCACACCCTTGCTTTCAAGGAAGGCAAGGTCTTGTGGACATGAGTCAGCTGATTTGTTGATGGTGAGAAATGGGTACGATGAATAATGGACCGTCATGTCGTTCGAGGGTAGTGTATGGCCTTTGGTCGCCTGATGAGGTAGCAATGTAGCGTTTGTGTTAATAGGTTCGGAACAAGCACCCGCGCTTCCAGAGCTTGCTGATTGCCTTGTCAATTGACACTCATAATGTAGTAGGGGGAACACGGTGTTTATTGAGATGTCACTCACACTGAATATAACGGGAGCTGCTGCTGCGAGGAGTGTCTCGTGGCGTCGCATCTCTTGCAGCTTCCGGAGAAATATTGTCTGAAGGCTGTGATGCTTGGTCGGTCCCGTCAACTGGAGTCAAGGAAACATCTGGACCCGCATTCGGCTCCTCGAACGGCTCGAGGGGTGTTTGTAAGTCAAGAGCTACAGACCGTTCATCTTCTTCCCTTGCAGGGACGCAGAATCCGTCTGACATTTTCTCTATATCATGTGCGACAAATAACGAACTTCTACAATACCATTTAGCTTCGGATCTTGGGTTGGTTTGGAACAAAACTTGAGATATTCACCGTTTCGCTCGATCCTTGACCAAGCAGGTCTTGTTGTCAAGCTGACAGTTCGTGCACGGATTGCCATGGAAGGTCACGTCGCATCTGACTTTTCGTCCTCGACATCTGATACAGGCCTTCTTGGCTCGATGACGAGTGCTTGATGTTTTCGCCATTATGATACGGCTTCAGGAGCAGTGTAGTTGGTAAACGGACAGGCTTGAGCACGAGCGCGGCTAGTCCAGTGTGCCTGCGGTCGGCAAGGTGTTCCTATAATAACGAATAGGTTTACTCATATAAAGTAAAAGGACAACGTCCAATTGAGTTACCGTGCTTGGATTAGGGTCAGTGTGAAGGAGCAGCAGGTGGGTTAATGCGAAATTAAAGTAGATTCCGATCTAAGCAAAGAAAGTGGGGATAGGGTGTGCTGTTTCATTACGTTTCAACGCTATGACAAGGCATATACAATTCCAATCCTACTGCATAAAACCTATTTCACCCTGTGAATCCGGGCGTGGTATCCAATGAGGGTTGGCTGTGTCAGTAATCATCTGCTCCAACCTCGGCACCGAATTACCATTTCTGATATAGTCCCCACGGCACTCGGTGCTACCACGGCACCCCAAGATTAACCCCGCTTCTGGGGTGTATTGTACCCCGGGTATTATCAAAATTTCGCCTTCGGCTTGGCGGGTTGATTCCGCTGCGCAATTCGCCGGAGTTCCCGGCGGAGGATCTTGCCGGTCTAGGGATGTCACTTGTTAGCAAGTACCTCCGTACGAGGAGCTTGATCTTGTGTTCCACTAACCTGGGATCGGGGGATGCTATCCACGAAAACAACACCGCCCCTGAGGTGCTTGTAATTCGCCACCGATTTTTTCATCCAGTCCATGATCTCTTTCTCCGTCACATCCGATCCCGGCCTCCTAACGATATACGCCCGCGGCGCCTCTCCGCCCTCAATGTTGATCCCGACGACACCCGCATCAACAATATCGTCTCGATCAAGCAGAACACCCTCTAGCTCGGAAGGTGAGACCTGGAAGCCGCGCACTTTGATAAGCTCCTTCAGGCGGTCGACAATAAAGATCTTTGCTCCTGGCCCGTACTTGTCGACGTACGCGACATCGCCCGTTCTAAGCCATCTTTCCCCGTTCTCTTCCACAACCGCCTCCTCGGTAGCTTTCGAGTTACGCCAATAGCCTTTCATTACGGTAGGTCCCGAGAACCATATTTCGCCTGGCTTGTTCGGCTCGGTGACTTCGCCATCAGAGTTCCGCATCCTCAGGCTTGCATTTGGGACGAGCTCTCCGACTGATGCCGTTCTAACGTCATCATCGTAGCTCCAGAGCGCGCCGGCGCACGTAAGCTCGCTCATTCCCCAGCCTTGGCGTACGAAATTATCACCTCCAGGCCAAATCCGTTGCTCAAACTCTCTAGAAATCTCTGGTGCCAATGGGGCAGTGCCGCAGACAACGTCATCAACGCTATCAAGATTGTACCTGGCAACGAGAGGACTCTTTGCCAACTGCAAAACAACCTGAGGAACAAGACCGAGAGAAGATACCTTCCACTCCTCGACGTGTTTGAGAAACTTTTCCAAGTCATAGAAAGGCATGATATATGTCGAAACACGCATCTTGGGGTTGTTAACAGCAAATACAGTCTGTCCTGCAGCATGGTACATGGGCATGAAGCAGATGCTAGTCTTGATTCCTGTTGCTGGCTTCACCTTCGCAAGGCTTTTTCTCATCTCCATATGAACATGTGCCTCTCCATTCGCAATATATGCGTGATGTGTGATTTCGACGCCTTTCGGTAGTCCTGTCGTCCCAGAGCTGTAGTTGAGGCAGCAGGTTGTTTCGCGTGGGTTTACCGGTTCTACCCATCCAAATCGCTCGGCTTCTGCTGTGTCAGACAGAAGGGCTGACCAATGCGTGATGCCATTTGATTTGCTCTCACCAGCAGGTGCGATGGAACCATCGAAGGAATATAAATGATCGGTGGTAATGCCGACCTTCGATGCGGCTTCGACAGCAACTGTGAGGCTGCTTTGTTGAGCAATAATAAATCGTGCGCCGCTGTCTTTAAGCTGGTAGGCCAACTCTGCGGCTCCAAAGCCAGGGCTGGCGCCAGTAAAGATGCCACCGGCCATGATAATTCCCATGAATAAAGCAGGGTATTGGATGCTATTGCTGGCAAAGACGAGTGCTCGGTCTCCGGGGCTCAGGCCGGCTTTTTGAAGGCCCAGCGCAATCCTCTTAGCAGTATGGCGGAAATGAGATAGACTGAGATATCGTGTGTCAGGGTGGTCGGCATCAATGTATGCCTTAATATCAGGCAGTGCGTCAAAAGACGAGCCAAAGACCCATTTCTGCACGGACTCTTCAGGCACCGGTATGGTCCACCGCGATCGAACAGGCATTGCAACGATTCTTCGTTCGAGAGTAGTGGTGTCGGTGTGAGAGTAATTTCGAGTGAGGTTGACAGACCCCCATGTTGATGTTGTATGCAGAGTCGTTTTATAGATCGATCATTCTTAGATGAAATTCTGGAGTTTACACCAAGAGTCCGCCGCGGCAGGAGTTTTAGGCCGCGGGAATGCGTGTGCGGCGCAACCAACCGAGGAGATCGTAATCATCCTACCTCGGCCTTCTACTCCGTTTCTAGAGGTTAGCCAGCCTGATTTTAACTAGAAACCAAAGACCTCGGTTTCTGTCCCGTCACTCCTTGCTCTTAGGAACTCAAATTAGGCTGATATGTGGCTAAGCAACTCACTCGATCATCATCAATTCTTCCCCACCACGCAGATTTAATTGTGAGTTGGCTCTTGAGTCAATAAAATCCTTTGGCACCTACCGCAGCTCATAAGCCATATACATGTCTTGTAACATTGCTCAATGCGTTGAGATACATTATGTTATCAAACTTGCGAAATGTTTATGCTCATTTGACAATTCACTTATAGAGATCTGGGACTTGTCCATTCTTGCCCGAGTCGATCTAAGCAACGACCTTGCCCAGGAAAAGGGTCTGCACGTTACAGTATGCCTTGAGTCCTTCGATGCCATACTCAGCACCGATGCCACTCTCCTTATGCCCTCCAAAAGCCGCCATTGGCGTGGTTTCTAAGTGGGCGTTGATCCAAACACTTCCTGACTCAATCGACCTTGCAATCCGTTCGGCGGCTTCAAGATTATTAGACCAGACTGAGGCACCTAATCCCAGGCGTGTGTTGTTAGCGTACTCAATGACCTCCGTCTCGTCCTTCCACGAGATCAGGGGAAGAATTGGGCCTGGCTGCCGTTAGTCAAGCTCCTCCTAGATTAGCGAAGGGTAACATACCAAAAGGCTCCTCGGCAACGATTCGAGAGTCATGAGGAGGATTATCAATAATAGTAGGTGTGATGTAGTATCCGTTTCTAGGCGCATGATCGATCTTTCCTCCTATCGCGACCTTCCAGTCATGCTTCTCAATATCATCAAAGAAGGACTTGACACGGTAGTACTGCATCTCGTTTTGCACAGGGCCATGGGTGGTACCCTCATCTGAGCCATCGCCTAGTGTATAAGACCTGACATGCTTGACAATAGCATCGCGGAACTGCTCATAAATAGACTCGTGAACGTAGATCCGCTTCACGGCGAGGCAGATTTGGCCCGAGCTGAGGAACGCGGACCGAGCAAGCTATGCGCTGGTTAGCATTTATAGTCTCACTCAAGGTAAATATTTCATTACATTTTCAGCCACTTTATCAATGTTTACATCAGGGAACACGATAGCGGGGTCGTTACCACCACTAAGCAATGTTAATAACTCGTGAGGTGTTAGCAAAGGGAGGAAGTATCATCTTACAGCTCAAGTGTCACCCGCTTGAGGGTCTTACTGGCGCTCTGAAGGACCAATTTTCCAGTCTGTGTTGAGCCAGTAAAGCTGATCTTATCAATATCGGGATGATTCGTAATCCAAGGTCCGAGGCTATCGTCACCGCTGAGCGACTGCACAACGCCGGGGGGGAAGAACTGCTGAGCAAGCTCAACTAACTTCAGTCCGCAGTAGGGAGTAAAGGGGCTTCGAAATGTTAGCGATAACTATTTAAAGTGGGAATTAACGGCAAAGGGCCATACGAAGGCTTCACGATAACGACATTTCCTGTCAAAAGGGCGGGAGCAATCTTGACGGCTGCGATCATGAGGGGAAAGTTCCAGGGAACAATGGCGGCGGCCACACCGAGAGGTGTGTACCGAGTCACGACCTTGCGTTTCTCACTATCCTCAACGACTTCCTCAGGTAAGGCAAGGCTAGACTGGCCCTTGATCCAGGCAATAGCGGCATCTGTCTCACCAATAGCAACAGAGAGCTCAGACATAAGAGTCAGTATGGCTTCTTATTGTTTTAATACAGGTTGATGTCTTACAGGTTTACCCTGTTCAGCGACGAGGAGGTCTGCAAACTCCTTCTTGTGGGCTTCAATCGCATCCGCCCACGCAAGCAGCTTGTTCTTGCGCTTATCCCAGGAAACTTTTGACCAAGAGCGGAAGGCCTTCCTAGCCGCCTCAACGGCTTGGTTTAGGTTATCCTCAGTGGCGACAGGCACCTCCTCCTTTTCTTCAAGAGTTGCGGGGTTGATACCACGACGGGTCTTTTCGGTCGGGACACTCTTCCCGTCGATGATCTGGACAAAGTTGCCCTTGAGATTCAGAGGCAGCGTCTTATTACTGCTGGGAGTCATGGTGAAGGATGTATACATCCGAGAAAAGATATTGAGCAAGTCTGATAAGAGGAGAGGAGAGTAATTCGAGGTTAATACAATTCGTAGCTGCCCTCAGCGCGTGCAATCGCCTTTTAAGTCCGATTTTGACACACTACTGTTACACTATGGACCTCGGCATTCCGGACTAACATCAGGGACGGCCACAGTGGAGAATTTGTAGCGGTCGGTAGCTTGCGGAAACGAAGTTTGGCACACTGGTAGTAATACTTGCCGAAATTTGCCCTACCCCAATTTAATCCAAGCTTTTCCAAGATATTCCATTTTCCTCGTCAGCCTGTCCGTCAAGGAGTTCTAACGGTGACGGCCCTCACTACCGACGGCAATGAAAACGTAATGGAACGTAGCCTCAACTAAGCCTAGAACCTGATACGGTTGACTTGAGAATCAAGAAAGTCTGCTATAGAGGAGGCCGAGAGGAATGCACATATCGACTAGGAAAAGAGGATAGACATACCGCTACTGAGATCGTACAGCAGCTGGCAGAGAGCGATAAACAAGCCATAAAACAAGGTAGAGGGATGCGTGGAGGTGGGTTGCAGGGGTTCAGGAAGCACTGCACCAAAAAACTCGATTGATAATTATTGTTGTTATTGTTGTAGTCCTTTATCTAGGTGTTGTGGTCGGAGATCTGTTCCTATCTACTTTAGCCGGGCCGTAACGTGAACATTTGTGTAAGGAGGGGAAAAGCCCACTAATATAGTTGTACGAATATCTTTGAGATGATCAATCTCAGTATAGTTTCTAGTTCGCCTCGCTATCTAATAGAAGGGGCGAGTGTTATGGGTAGTGAGCAGCTGGAGCTATGGTCAGCGATCATTCTTTGGTTCCAAAAGCCAAGCGCGTGATTGCGGAAGATTTGTCGACTAACCCATTGGGGCCTAGCCGCCCGAACGAAAAACTATTACATACCTCTCGCCGGGCGAAACCCTCCGGACAAATGCCAATATACCAAATATCAGGACAACACGAATTTCTGATCGAGACGCTAATACTATAAGGCCTTCTCGAGTTTAATATTGAGTGCTGTCCTATTTGTTTCCTTGATACTGTTGTGTACCGGTTTCCTTTTTCCATGTCCAGCGATATGTGCCCCGCCCGCGAGAGATAAATACATACATACATCTATCAAGGTCACAAGAAGCAGGGATCATACTTTGATGTCGTCAGAAAGCAAGAGGCATCTCCACATCTCGGTATCACCTCGCTATCGAAGCAGCCGCGGTGGATGTGTGCCTGGCCTGTCATGGCATTAGCTCTACCCTCGGCATCCTCGAACCCTCGGCTTCTTTGAAACATCATCAAACCTCGCTTTAGAACCATCATTGTATGGTTTTCGGTCGGAGATGATTTGGTTTATAAGCTATTTTACTCTCACTAGGAAGCTTCTTTCGCATAAACATAACTCAAATCACAATCATGTCCAGCCTCCCAACTGAGACTCAACCTCCTCCTACGCCAAATTTCCTGCGACTCTCTTACCCCAGCCAGCATGTACTGCTTATCCGCATGGATCGCCCACAGTCTCTGAATTCTCTTTCGATGGACTCCCTTGAGGAGATCGATGCTGTACTGCGTTGGTATGATTCGGAGCCTACTCTCTTCGTCGCAATCCTCACAGGCACGGGGCGTGCATTCACTGCTGGTGCCGACTTGAAGCAATGGCGTCAATCACTGAATGGTGAACACCGCTTTGGTGTACGTGAGGGTATCGAGAGCCCTACACGTCGCAAAGGCAAGAAGCCTCTTGTCGCAGCAGTCAACGGCATGGCTTTTGGCGGTGGATGTGAACTCGTCGTTAATTGCGATCTGGTGGTTGCCGCTGACAGCGCAATCTTCTCCCTCCCTGAAGTACGGCGTGGGTTGGCACCCACCGGAGGTGTCCTAACGCGACTTGTGCACACTGTCGGCATGCAAGTGGCTTGTGAGATAGTACTCACTGGGCGGCCGATCTCAGCAGCGGAAATGCATTCTTGGGGATTAGTTAACAAGGTCGTTCCCAAAGAAGAGGTTGTTGATGAGGCACTGCGGTATGCGGATCTCATTGCGGCCAATAGCCCCGATGGAGTTGTCTGTGCGCGAATGGGTTTACGGCAAGCTTGGGAAACGGCAGATGTTGAAAGTGCAACAGATGACTGGCTCAAGCAATACTTCTCAGTGCTCGAGAAAGGCGAGAACATCCGAGAGGGCATGTCATCATTTATAGAGAAAAGGAAGCCTGTGTGGAAAGGAAGTAAGATTTAATTGACTTCGTTCAAGTACATAGTAAGCCAGCGCGCACTTTGGTCATGCAATGTTCCCGAATAGAATACGACAATGCATCTGACACATTAAGTTCCACTCCATGTGCTCTTTCTTGGGCGTCTCAGCGAAGACCGTACAATTTCCTGCCTTTTCTCGGGCCCCAATGCAGGCTCTACGGTGTCTTTTCTTCAGTCGCGCTCACCCTTCCACGAGGGCTTTCAAATCATTAGTCCACGGCGTCATGTTAACTTCCATATGACTTATATGGATAACAAACCAATTCTACAACTCAGCAACTATATGCCAATATATGCCATGCTTCTCTCAAATTTTTAGATATGTTCAACTAAACAAGTCCTGGCATCATTGGAGATCCAAGGCCCATCGTGAGCTAGAGGAATGAGCATATGCGACAACTGGCCTCACCCACATCCAATCCGTACATAGTAAATGATAGTTGCTTAAGAAATTATAGAATGTGCATAAAGCATTTGCAGAGTGATAATGACCCACACATCTGCACTCTATTCACTACTTGTCGCTGATCTCAGCTATGAATCTGGACTTCGAGTAATCCTCTCTAGAAACACAGTTGACGCGAATCAAGACCCGCTAGAGGGGGGCAACATGATTACGGCTTGCTGGCCTGGATAAAAATACAAACCTTCCAGGGGCCAGAAGTTCACATTATATCGCACGTGCACTTACACTATCCCAATGGGGAAGATGAACCGAGTTAAACGCTATGACCGAGGTTTCCGAATACCGCATCGGGTGATTCGAGTTACCCTGATAGCCCGAAACCTATGGCCAAATTTTATATTGCCGGGTAGTTGAACCTTCAGCCGACACAGGCTGCGATTCGGTATAAGTATGGCGTTCTCGAAGATCGACGTTGATGAGTAGATGCAGCCATTCCAAATAATCTACCTTGATTTGTGTCTTGGGACCCAACACCTTCTTCATCTCATTAATTTGCGATACCTTTCTATCGAGAGTCTGATCGATAGTATTGAGTGATAAACTATACCATAATGCCTCGAGCCCTTATTCTCCAGCCTATAGAAAGCGGCAAGCCTGGGAAAGTCTATTATCCGTGGGTTTAATTCCTTGAGATTTCATATTACAGAGACTGAAAAAAGCATCACAGTCTACAGATCAAAGAAGTCTCTAAGCCAATACCTGGCCCTCATCAACTTCTCGTCCGTCTTTCTGCCGCAGCCCTTAACCACCGCGACCTTTTCATCCGTCGCCACCTCTATCCAGGCATCTCTCTGACCAACCCGCTCCTCGCTGATGGTTACGGTACTGTCGTTGCTATTGGGCCTGATGTATCCTCCTCTAGCATCCTTAACAAGCCCGTCCTCCTCACCCCTATGCGCGGATGGGAGGTTGAACCTTCAGGGCCAGAGAATAGCAGGCAGTTCACCGTGCTTGGTGGCACAAAAGCCACAGATATAGGTACTGCGCAGGATTTCGTAATCGTTCAAGAAGACGAGGTCGAACTAGCACCGGAGCATCTTACCCCTGCCGAGGGAGCAGCATTACCTCTTGCTGGACTTACCGGGTGGAGGGCGCTAGTGACCAAGTCCAACGCTGCCAGTCCAGGAAAAAATATCCTTATCACCGGCATTGGTGGAGGTGTTGCTTTACAAGTCCTCCAATTTGCTGTCGCTTTTGGATGTAACGTCTATGTGACATCTGGCGATGCCTCAAAATTGGCCAAGGCAAAGGCTATGGGTGCTAAGGGTGGCGTGAGCTACAAGAGCGAAACATGGGAGAAGGACCTCCGATCCATGCTCCCTGATGACCGAAGATATCTCGATGCGATTATAGATGGCGCCGGTGGAAAAGTTGTCTCCAAGACAGTTCCAATACTTAAGCACGGCGGAGTGATCTCACAATACGGCATGACTATTTCGCCACAGATGGATTGGGTTATGCCGGCCGTATTGGCCAATATAGAGTTAAAGGGAACGGCGATGGGGAGTCGGCAGGAGTTCAAGGAAATGGTTGCTTTTGTGAATGAGCACAAGATTCGACCAATTGTCAGCAGGACAGTCAAGGGGTTGAGCAATCTGAAAGAGATTGATGGTTTGTTTGCTGAGATGCAAGAAGGCAAGCAATTTGGCAAATTGGTTATTGAGATAGATTCTGAGAGCCAAGTCCAGTCTAGGTTGTAAATACCCAGACAGACACATATGTGATGCTCGAGACTTTTGACACGCGTCAGCCGGTCGAAACCAGCGTCTTGAGTTTTTCCTATTTGTGGTAGAGATACTGAAGAAGTTGTTTGTATACCAAGTTGTACATGGTCGGTAGGTATGTATCGTAGGGAGCATTCTTACTACAAGGCAACTGAAAATTGGCAGCATTTGCAAAAGTTGCTTTGGGATAGCCCTCCAAATTACTACGTAGGAAGCATCCCATAATGACATGCTCACAAGCACAAGCACACCGTCGAATTGTGACAGAGCAGACTGGGTTCAAGCCCATCACCAGCCGAACCATGATCACATTCTGAGCATTTCCCAGGCTGATATGCGTATTGAATGACCAATCAATTCTGTTCCGAATGAAAATCATGCTCAACGGAATACTCAAAACAAAAGAGTGTTGTCGCGGTCGATCCATTAGACATACCCCATGACGTCGTTTAGTTAGCGACCTTCAACACGACTCGTCCTGCAACTTGGCCTGCGTCCAACTTTCCAAGCCAGGAGTTCAGATCCTCAAGCTCTCCTTCTGAAACTATTGGCTATTGACTCGTCAGCGAGGGCTTTCTCCCCTTCAAGGGGTACCTGCACTCACACGAACTAGGCCGCGAGCGGACAGATGGAAGGCCTCGGCCACCTCTTGGTGTTTTGCTGCAGCACTGCCGACAATTCTAAGCTCAATAGTGATTAGTTAGGCCGGTGGGGCACCAGCCATCATGGACATATCAGTGGGGAGACCGATGATCACAGCCGTGCCCCTTGACCCCAGGAAACTCGGTGCTGTGGCGACGGCGGGGAAGGTTACGAGGCGGCTGGCATGTCATGGCGCTGAGGGACTGGTTGGGTTGCTGGCTGGTAGGGCCCTTGGATGTAGTGGTGCACGTAGAAGGGTGTAGATAGGCTAAGGGGTAGAAATAAATTACACGTGAAACTATTTAGGGGGCTGAATGAGGACGAGGACAGGGGAGGAGTTGCAGATGTTGTGTAAGGATGTGGAGGTCATGTTTTCGCGCTGGCACGCATGTGAGTGTTTCTGGAGGTTTGAGTATGGTGGATGCGCGGGAATGTTGCTTGTGAGAGTCATGCTTGTGAAAGGTTCGGACGTTGGAGTTGGTGTTGTGGCCAAGTGCACCGTTACTTTACTGTTCAAACGACTGGAGGACAAATGTAGACTCTGTGCACGGCGTGTTACAGTGTGCGATTGAGCGACCGTGTTGCAATATATCTGGCGCGGCGCTGGCTATGCAGTGGAGGGATACCAGAACACATGGAGTACATCTTCTTGCGTATTAAATGCATAGTTGCTTTCAATTCCACGTATTACGGAACTTGGGGCACATGCGATCGCGTGGACCTCTAGAATGAGCTTTTTGACAGGAAAAAGTCGAGACAGTTTGAACGGTGTGTAGGTCATCATGTTAGCCTCATTTGAGGGCAAAGGCACAGCGTCCTTGGGGACGGTGTACAGTGTATCTGGTAATGGTGCACAGTGCCCTCATCTGAACGTCAATTATCGTTGGTTCATTGCGGATTGCACCTGGCACTGGTCAAGAAGCATTGTGCAATGCTTCTCCTGTTCTCAATAGGTCTTATACAAGCACAATTATTATCTTGTCGCATTGATGGTAACTGAAACATGCTGGCTAGTTACACGCGCGGTAAAGAAAGGCGCAATAAACTTGTTTCCCGCACTACGCCAGACTGCTGCAGCACCTGAGTATGCAAGGCGTATTGGCGTAACGTGTGTTTCACGTTCCAGTCGGGCTTAGGTACCTGCTATATTCATACATGTGTGCGAGGGTTCTCTGAACTTTTATTGGGACCAATTGATGCAGCTGTAAAGCAGGCGAGCTGACAAGGTCAGAAATGAGACAACCGGAATTGAACACTTCCTCTCGTCACGGCACTCTTTTGAATAATTTTTTCTTGAGGTCTGTCGCAGATGGACTTCGAAGATGAACCTGTGGCAGGTGGCAGGCGAGATTCACTCGAAGATGCATCCATCGCATCTGATGAAGGTAAGCTGTTAGATCAGTTTTTCCAGAGCCAGACTGGTGAGGTAACTCTATTATTTGGTTACAGATCTATCCAAAAAGGATCAAGAAAGACTCCGAAGAGCACTTCAGATAGAGGAGAGCGTAGAGTTTGGCGAGATCACGGGGAAGACTGTGTCCGACTACCTCATGCGAAACTACAGTTCTAGTTACAGTTGGGATAGATACCACGAGATCCACTTCGTCCTGGACAAGGTCAAGAAATGGGTGGATCTGAGCAAGCATTCCAGGGATTTACACTTCGCAACGAGATTTGAGCTCTACGATTACATACAATTACTGCTCATCCACGGTGCCGATCCAGAGGGTGAATTCAGGAGGTGGAAGATAACGGACCAATCAATGCACTTTCTACTCTCCTACCATATCGCAGCCAGACGCTATTTGGACCGGATGACCTTACGGTGGCACAAGATTTTTTATACTAGAAAGAGCAAAACGCTATTCATAACAAAGTTGTGGACACCTAAGCTTTGGACATGCGAAGCTCTCAATGAGATCCGTGCACTCTCGGTTTTCATCCCATATGATAATGTAAGTGGCTGAATGAGCTTCATGGTGTTGCTAACCGACCAGGCTATGGCTCCGCTGGTATTTGAATCATATCCCTACCTGCCTGATCTTGACTGAATCGACGTAGATGCTGACGGGAGCCATTGCAAGAAAGCTTGATCATAATTATCACGGGTCTACTTGGCGAACGATGCAGTCCTGGTCTCAATCTGTCATCGGAGTTTTTACTACTATACCACCGCTCATTTCTGCTCGCGACCCTATCTTACACTATCGCGATCCAACGTATGACGCTAGCGTAAGTAAAGCAGCATTTTCTGACGCCGAGCTACGCTTAGTAGACCCTCTCGCTATAGTGGTATGTATGGACAACATAGAAGATGATATTCGGTGCAGACACTCACTGTAAACAGTTTCCGTACCTTGTTATGGATGTTATGAAAAACTGGAGAAGACGAAGGGCGCAACACAGAGCGGAATGGCGACAACACAGAGCGGAATGGCGACAACACGAAGCGGATTGGCAACGACTTGTAGCCAATTGGCGACAGCAGGACGAAGCAAAGTGGCGACGAGAAAAAGAAGAGTGGGCGTGGCTACAATACGACGAAGAGAGCTTGCGACAAAATGAAGCGAGTTTTGGGAAAGGTCTTCGGCCCTGTCCTTATCCCGATCATGTTCAACCCAAAATTTACTGTGAGCGCACCCTGGATGAAACATATTATCCGAGCCTCCCAAGGGATCAGCTTGAGGAAAGAAACACGACCCAGGTAGTTCAAAGGCAATACATGAGGGACAACGATTGCGACCAATCAGAATGGCCGATTCTCTTGGTACCTCAATTGTGGATCTGGAAAATAGACGATGTTATCATCTCCACGTACCCATTGCACACAAACCAGATGTCATTCGAGCGTAACGGAGATTACGCACGCGAGATGACTGGGGAAGCTGAGGTAGAATGTCATATGACACAAGCTATTTGGGAGCACGTAGATGCCTTCCGAAAACCTTTCAGAGACGCGGACTCAGAAGAAGTCATATTTGCCTCTGCGCTTGATATTTTCGAGCTTGCAGTTGTGGAGACTCTTTCTGATGTTCGTAAATATGCTGCAGAACGCTCGACACAGAGTATCGATATAGAGCTCGAGCGGAAGCTCATAGAAGCCCTCGCCGACATTCGAAACGAGTTGGACATGATATCTACCATCATGGCACAACAGGAAGAGATCATCGACAACGCCATTATCGATCGAACTAAGAGAATGGCTGCTTGCCGGGAGACACTGGTCGAGACAATTAAGCAATCAGAACGTAGTCTTGAAGAAAACGAATCTCTCGAACAGAGCGGAGCTTTGAGGGATCATGACATCAAGTCCAACAGACTCATATGTGGGCTCGAGAAGAGCAAGGACTGCATCGAGAACTACAAAAGACGGATCTCTAAGATCAATAGGGACGCGGACAAGGTAGCGAAAACGGTTGATGACATGCTCAATCTGAGCAGAACAGAAGCGAGTATCAAGGAAGCCCAAAATAGCGTCATCATAGGATGGGCAGCGATCGCATTCGCAATCATCACGGTCATCTTCACGCCGCTATCATTTATGACAAGTCTGATGGCTCTGCCCATTAACCGGTTCATGGATCATCAATACAGATACGACGACGACGATAGAGCATACAAGTCAGGCTATCTAGCAAGCATCTTTAGTAAGCTCACTTCCACTTCACTGTTTCGCGTGTTGACTTGCAGTAGTCGGAGCAGAGATCGCTTCTCTGCTTGTTACGGGCGCTATTCTGGGGGTTGCGTACTGGATCTCTCCGATGAATCGGAGATCGCGAAAGCAGCCAGCTCCCAACAGGAACATGAACACGCAAGAGACCGATACGCCTCGCGAAGCCAAGCAAGACCCACCCGGCGCCAAAGACGCTACTGGCACAACGACTGAGCGAAATACCAAGTTTACTAGCTGGTCCGTAGCAGGGGTGTCAAACTCCTTGACGCGTAGGCTCAAGAGCAAGAAAAAAGACGAGGAGACTGGAGGACAAGATGAACAAGTACCCGAAGTCTAGTCACTAGGCTGGGGACATGGAAAAATGGGTTGACAGGCGGCAGAGAGCTGGTTTTCTCATAGTTATCCCTAATGAACCTGAAACAAACGGTGACTTAGCTTTCCGTATAACTGTCTATTCTCTCCTTCACACTTCGACGAACATGCTTACAAAAACATCAATAATCCATCATACTCCCTACTAACCGCCGCTGATACTTCTCCACAACCTCCTGACAGCGCACAACCACACCTGCAGCCAGCACTCTCACCTTCTCATCCTCTCCACCATCCTTCCCAGCTGGTAACCCGTCAAAAACTCCGCGCACCCATTCCTGCGTCTCCATCAGCTCCTTGCCTTGTTCAGTCGCCAGTCGCTCTTTGTCCCCATTCGTCTCGAGCAGCATCAAAACCGCAAACAACAAAGCTGACAAGATTCTCTTATCGTTCATCGCATGAGCACGACATGACAGCAGCAGCTCCCACATCTCGCGCGTCATCTGTGGTAACGCGAGGGTGTTAGGTCCAGACGCGTTCATAAGCAACGCCAAGGTATGCAAGAACGTAGGAAGCAAATGGGTCGAAGTGTATATCGACGATGCTGAGGAGGCAGATGCACGCGTAGCGAGCCACCACCGTCCCGTCAGCGGAAAGAAGAAGTTGTCCACGACCATCTGCGACAGCGCGTTGGGAATGGGCTTCGAGCGTCGTGCTTCTACTTCCATGCGCGAGCTGAATGTGCGGCTTTGGCCTACTTTGAGAATTGCTGGACCGGTCAGGGTGTCTGCTGCTTTGGCGGCGAGCGGAGAGAGGAGTTCTTTCGTCATGTTGGTTGTGAGGCGGGCTAGTGGATTTGAAGACGAGGGAGTGGGCGCGTAGAGGGCGTGTAGTTGCGGTGGAAGTTTTTTGCTCGGGAAGGCCGGGGCCGGCGGAGTCATATTCTCAGTAGCAGTGTCTTTCAAGCCGGCGAGTTCGCGAGCGCCTAGACCGAGGGTTGTGAGGATTGCAGTGCGTTGGGTGAGGGAGTAGTCGCCTGTGAAGAAGTTGCGTGCGAACCATTGCGCCATTGCTGCTGGCTTTGCTAACAGTACTGCTATGAGGGCTTGCTGTTTCTGCTCCGCGAACTTCTCCAATTCAAAACTGTCGTTCAGCCCAACAAGGATAGAGGCAAGCTCTTCGATATTGTCGAGCACCTCGGAGCCGAAGTTCGCTTTACGGCGGATGAGCGGTGCGGCTGTGGAGAGCGCTAAAGCGTGCCTGTCGTAGTCCTCTGTGTCACGCAGACCAGCGACTAGGTCGCGAATATAGACGGGAGCGGTGGGTTTGTTTCGATTGATCTCTGTAGGATCGTCCGTTTCGTCTTCGGGGTCAGAGTCCGGCTTTGAGTAAGGGACGAGGTCGTCATCTTCGTCTTCGTCTTCGTCTGAAAGTATCTCGACGATACGAGGACCTTGTATCTCGGTAATGGAGGTACTTGTAGTGTCCTTGGTTGCGACCTTGGTGGGTCCCTTGCGGCCTCCTTGCTTGTTTGATTTGTTCTCCCGGACCTTCAAAAAACTGATTTCACCGAGCCTGTCATTGATTTTCGTGAGATGCTGGTACCACTGCGCTTCTTCCGCTTCGGCACCTTCCAGGTCAAAATTGAGTTGAGTCTCAGGCTTGTCAACCATTTTCGAGATCGCCATGCCCATTGCTATGCCAAGAAACCGGGCTCGTGGAGAGGATGATCCTATTCGGTTTGACATCCCAGATGTATGATGGCTCGACTTGGCCATCATGGTAAGAAACATCGGCTGCGAGCGCTGAACGTATCCGCAGGTTATCGCAAGAGTTTGTGCGAGAGCTATTCTGTCAGAACTCCGCAGGAAAGTCTGTACGTTTGGTTTACGTACCTTCTTGCTGGATAATAGGTGTATGTTTGATGTAGAAGGTATCTCCAAACATTTTGAGGCTGTTTTCGAGGAGAGTATGTATATGATCTAAACTATATTAACGTTCCATGCCCGCAAGCGGGTGACTGCGGCCTTACCTTCGTCTTTCGCAATAGCCGCAATGACACTCCTGCGTCCAGAAAGTGAATCATCTAGCGCAGGAACACCAGACCTCGTGAGTGATGCTACCAGATGCTCCATCAGCGTGTCGCTGCCTCGGACCAACTCACTGACCAGGGCAGCGACACCGGCAATAAGCGGGGAGCTTTCGAACACAGAAGTTTTTGTATTATCGCCGACAGTGTTGAAATAATGGTTAGACAAGGCATTTATGATTGCATTTAGGTATTTGCGTTGCTCAAAGGCTTTCATCTTGTGAAGCAGCGCGGTAAAGGCGCCGATAGTGTCGCTATCGATCATGACTAGCAGCATCGAGCGGATGGTCTGATCTTGGTATGGTCAGCTTAGAGATATGCATGGCTATACTGCTAACCTACCTGTGTAACCTAGGGTCAGCGCTTTGCTGCAAACATCTACGACTATCGACGCAGAATCTTCGTCGCGCTCCATTGCGCTCAAATGTGCAATGTTACGCCCCAACCAGGTTGCGTAGCTGCTGCCATCCGCCAGCCAACTAGATTTCCGAGACACTTGCTTCTCTTTGAGTACATCCTCGGCTTCAGCTGCAAGAGAGACTATCCGTCCGGAAGCAACTTGTGCAACAAATTCTTTCCACATCATCTTCTTTCGTGCTGCGTTCTTTCCGTGCGTTTTGATGTCCGCCCACACCTGGGTCAAACATTGTTCGCCGTGTAAGATGCGCTCAAGAAAATCTAAGAGATCCACAATATGGGATGCCGAATCTCGGGTCTCTCCAACAGCCTTCTTCTGTCGACAATCTGCAATCAGCGGCCGTAATCGCGTGATGACATTTCCTATGCCGCTCGGATTACGAAGGCATCTAGTCATTTGCTTTAACTGTGGTTTCTTGTCTTTCAAGATTTGCCAATAGTCCTGCAGTGTCGTATTGATCAGTTGGAATACGATATTTGCGGCAACTGGACCCGGAAGCACAAGGTGAAAGCCATCCTGACGCTCGGTTTCGGCCACCAGATATTCAAGCACGCTTTCGATCGACTCAAGATCCGGTTGCTCCTTGAGGACCTCCAATGCTCTTTCGGGAGAATCGACTATTACGCTGCTTTTGCTGTTCACGGTGCTTCCAATCTCTTTCAGAAGAGGCTTCGAGTCTTGAGTGCGCTTCACCTTCGTGGTGGAGACAGGTGTGAGGAAGTCGTCCATGTTCCCGGGGGCATCTTTGACATTCGATCAGTGTAAGTTATGATCATAGAGCCCATACGACGCGTTGAAAGTGGTGACCGGCATCCGTGTTCAGCAAAAGTAGCCGCCCACTCGGCAGATCTTGCCACTTTCGTTGGCGGGCTTGGCGTACGCTGCGGGGCTAACCTCACTGGAACAGCTGCCTACCACCGCCGCCTGAGCTGTCAGTGAACCCACTCACTGTTCATCTCAACCACTGCAACCTGCAACGAAATGGCTGCAGCTGACATTGCATTCTTGCCAAACGGTTCGGAAGGCACCCGGGCGCGATGGTAGAATCTACCCTTTCGAAAGCTCTCAGCAAGCTAACGCTCCGGCTTAGGAAGTACTTAGACAAGGTCCTAGATAGACCAGGACCTTTCACGGACCCGGATAGCTTTGTGCCAGGTAACCATGAGACTTTGGAGAGGGCGAAAGTACTGTGAGTATTAATTACGCATATATGAAATCCCAAACTAACAGACACAGGGTCATGTGAGTTGCCTCTCAAAGTATTACCGATACATCGATTAATGATCATGCAGCGGAGCTGGCGGCTTAGGATGTGAAATTCTTAAGAATCTAGCCCTCTCTGGCTTCAAGGATATTCATGTCATCGACATGGACACGATCGATGTGTCCAACCTTAACCGCCAATTCCTGTTCCGTGCTGCTGATGTAGGGAAATACAAAGCCGAAGTCGCTGCAGCTTTTGTGGAGAAGCGCGTAAAAGGCGTTCAGATTACGCCTTACTGCGGCAAGATCCAGGACAAGGATGAAGAATACTACAAGCAATTTGCCCTCATTGTCTGTGGTCTAGACAGCATCGAGGCACGACGGTGGATCAATTCGATGCTCGTCGGTATGGTGGATGGAAACGACCCAGATAGCCTGAAGCCGCTGATTGATGGTGGTACCGAGGGCTTCAAGGGTCAGGCGAGGGTAATATTTCCTACTATGACCAGCTGCATTGAGTGCCAGTTGGACATGCACGCTCCGCGTGCTGCAGTTCCTCTTTGCACACTTGCCACTATCCCCCGTCAACCACAGCACTGCATCGAGTGGGCGCACATCATCGCTTGGGAAGAAGAGCGCAAGGAGATCACCTTGGACACCGACGACCCAGAGCACATTACATGGCTTTTCCAGAAAGCCTCGAAGCGCGCAGAAGAGTTCAACATTCCCGGAGTCACATACAGTATGACGCAAGGCGTAGTCAAGAATATCATTCCGGCAATCGCGTCCACGAATGCCATTGTAGCAGCCAGCTGCTGCAACGAGGCCTTCAAGCTCCTCACTAACGCGAACCCCTTCCTCGGGTTCCCTGGCACAGACAACTACATGATGTACACTGGCGATGAGTCTGTGTACACTTATACTTTCGAGCACCAGAAGAAAGATGACTGTCCTGTATGTGGCGAGGAAGCCCTGGCGCGTCCGCTAGAGATTGATCCTGAGGCGACGCTGCAGGAATTTGTAGACAGCTTGGCGGAGCGTCCGGAGGCACAACTCAAGACCCCATCGATAAGGACCACGGAGAAGTCGCTGTACATACAGTCAGCGGCGGACTATGAGCGCATGACGCGACCGAATCTAGAGAAGAAGATGAAAGACTTGACGGCTGAAGGGGAGGAGATGCTGGTTTCGGACAAGGCATTTCCAACGATGTTCAAATACGTCGTGGTGTGGAAGAGATAGCAGGATGCGTTGGGCTAGGCCGATCTGATGATCGGTGGTAACGGGGCATTTTCACGAGCATAGCATGCGCAGCCTACGTAGATGGGTCAGCACTCGAAGCCTTCAGTATTAATGCAACAAATAGAGATTGAACCTGAGATAATGAGAGTCCAACTGTGATAGAAGCTGGCGTACATTTTCCCAAGTCAAGCTTTCCGATCGTAGATTCCTAGGGTGAGGTTGCACGTGACTCAGGGAGGCGAAGGTCTGTGCGCAGTGCTAGCGTTGCCTGCAGCTCATGATTTACATCGGTCCCCCTCGATACCTCCAACGACAACGCTCACTCGGACAAATCGCCACGACCTGCAGCACAATGGCCGGACCGCGCGCAGGAAACAAGGCTGCCACCAACGGCTCCGGAGGTGGATCAAGCAAGCAGTCGCTTACCGAGGCGTTCGACAAGGACCTGTACGATGGCAGCAATGGCGTCGACAAGTTTGCCGGCTACAACATGTCCATCGCCGCCAACGAGGATGAGGATATGGAGGATGCCGGCGAAATCAACGGAAGGCGGCTTGTCGGACAGTACACGGCGAGCGCAGATATGCTGAATGAATATGCGCACGGCGAGGACGACATGCTGGAGTCTCGGGAGAAGCAGGCCCAGATTTCCTCACGCGAGACCGACTACCAACGGCGCCGATTCGATCGCAAACTATCGCCCGATGGCGCAGAGGGCGGTATGTCGTACAAGGAAAGGATGCAGGAGCGCGATATTGAGCGGGAGGAGGCGCGTGTCCAAAGACTTCTCGAGGACCGCGAGAAGAATGGGGACGAAGTTCTTGACCACAAGCCGACGCTCAAGGATGGCGCGCCCGAAGTCGACGGCAACAAGACTCCGCCCATGGAGAAGAAGCGCAAGCGGCGCCGGTGGGATGATGGTGGTGATGAGGAGCCCAAGATCGAAGAGGTGGCGGTAGAACCCTCATTGAAGAAGAGGTCGAGATGGTCTCCAGACCCACAAGAAGTGAAACCCGAAGAGCTCGAGGCCGCCGCACCCGTACGCTCACGATGGGATACCACCGCTGCCGCTGCCAGCGCCGGCGCCACGCCTGCTCCTGCCACTAATGGCGCTAAAGCCCCAGCACCTACGAGCTTCACGTTCGGCACCGACATCTCCGCACGTAATGCCCCTCTTTCCGACGAGCAGCTCGATATGATGCTCCCATCTGAAGGCTACAAGATCCTCGAGCCGCCTCCGGGCTACGAGCCAGTCAGGAGACCGGTCGGTGCGCCAACACTTCCAACCGGATACTCAGGGTATCTGGTTCCTGAAGCGGACAACAGCATGGCCATGATGGGCAAGCAGCTGCCGACGGAGATTCCTGGTGTCGGCGACCTGCAGTTCTTCAAGAACGAGGACATGAAGTACTTTGGAAAGCTGACAGATGGCGCGGACGAGAACGAGATGACTGTCGAGGAGCTCAAGGAGCGCAAGATCATGCGCCTGCTTCTCAAAGTCAAGAACGGAACGCCTCCCATGCGAAAGACCGCTTTACGACAGCTTACCGATAACGCTCGCCAATTTGGGCCAGCAGCTCTCTTCAATCAGATCTTACCGTTGCTGATGGAGCGAACATTGGAGGACCAAGAGCGACATTTGCTTGTTAAAGTCATCGATCGTGTTCTGTACAAGCTGGACGACTTGGTCAGGCCCTACGTCCATAAGATCCTGGTTGTTATCGAGCCGCTTCTGATCGATCAGGACTACTATGCCCGTGTAGAAGGTCGAGAAATCATTTCGAACCTCGCAAAAGCTGCTGGTCTGGCACACATGATCAGTACAATGCGCCCGGATCTGGATCACCAGGACGAATATGTCCGCAACACGACAGCCCGAGCATTTGCCGTGGTTGCATCCGCACTAGGCATACCAGCACTTCTGCCTTTCCTTCGGGCCGTGTGTAGGAGCAAAAAGTCGTGGCATGCCCGCCACACTGGTGTCAAGATCGTGCAGCAGATCCCCATCCTGATGGGTTGCGCTATCTTACCTCACCTGAAGGGTTTGGTCGAGTGCATCGGCGACAATCTAAACGACGAACAGCCAAAGGTCCGTATGGTGACCGCACTCGCATTGGCCGCACTGGCCGAAGCTGCCTCGCCCTACGGTATCGAATCTTTCGACGACATTCTGAACCCGCTATGGACCGGAGCCCGGAGACAGCGAGGCAAGGCTCTAGCATCCTTTCTGAAAGCCGTTGGCTACGTTATCCCGCTTATGGACGAAGAGTACTCCAACTACTACACCAGCCAAATCATGGAAATCGTCATCCGCGAGTTCCAGTCACCCGACGAGGAAATGAAGAAGGTTGTTCTGAAAGTGGTATCTCAATGTGCTAGCACTGCTGGCGTGACCCCAGTCTACTTGAAGGACAACGTGCTGCCAGAGTTTTTCAAGCACTTTTGGGTGCGTAGAATGGCACTCGACAAGCGCAACTACCGACAAGTTGTTGACACCACAGTCGATCTAGCTCAAAAGGCTGGCGTCGCAGAGATTGTGGGCCGTATTGTGAACAACATGAAGGATGAAAACGAAGCATACCGCAAGATGACCGTCGAGACTATTGACAAAGTCATCTCGACACTTGGAGCACACGACGTAGATCAGCGCCTTGAGGAACAGCTCATCGACGGTATACTGGTTGCCTTCCAGGACCAGACTGTCGAAGATCCGATCGTTATCGACGGTTTTGCTACGGTTGTGAACGCCCTTGGTGAGCGCACGAAGACGTATCTGCCACAAATTGTTGCTGTGGTCATCCACCGCCTGAACAACAAGGCCGCACCGGTTCGACAACAAGCTGCTGACCTAATTTCTCGCATCACCTTTGTCATGCAGAAGTGTGATGAAGACCCACAGCTAGTCAAGCTGGCAAGTATACTGTACGAGTACCTGGGCGAGGAATACCCGGAAGTCCTTGGATCGATTCTTGGAGCGCTACGAGCCATCGTCACTGTCGTCGGCCTAGCAGCAATGCAGCCTCCAATCAAGGACCTTTTGCCGCGACTCACACCCATTCTCCGCAATCGACACGAGAAGGTCCAGGAGAACACGATTGATCTGGTTGGCAGAATTGCCGATCGTGGAGCTGACTACGTCAATCCAAGAGAATGGATGCGCATCTGCTTCGAACTGTTGGATATGCTCAAAGCACACAAGAAGGGCATTCGGCGCGCCGCGAACAACACCTTTGGCTATATTGCCAAGGCGATCGGACCGCAGGATGTGCTTGCAACGCTTTTGGGCAACCTACGGGTAAGTCGTCCCCTCGCCATTTACATCAAGACGTAAGCTAACAATCAACAGGTGCAAGAGCGACAGTCTCGAGTGTGTACTGCCGTCGCAATTGGCATTGTCGCAGAAACTTGTGCTCCTTTCACGGTTCTGCCAGCCTTAATGAACGAATACCGGGTGCCCGAGCTCAATGTCCAGAACGGTGTGTTGAAGTCGCTCAGCTTCATGTTTGAGTACATTGGGGAGATGGCCAAAGATTATGTCTACGCTATCACGCCGCTGCTGGAAGACGCCCTCATCGACCGCGATCAAGTGCACCGACAGACGGCTGCGTCGGTGGTCAAGCACGTGGCGCTCGGCTGCGTCGGCCTCGACTGCGAAGACGCAATGGTCCACCTGCTCAACCTCCTCTGGCCCAACCTGTTCGAAACCAGCCCCCACGTCATCGACCGCATTGTCGAGGCCATTGAGGGAATCCGCAACGCCATCGGCACGCCTCTCGTCATGAACTACGTGTGGGCGGGTCTTTTCCACCCTGCGCGGAAGGTGCGACAACCGTACTGGCGCATCTACAACGACGCGTACGTGCAGTCTGCGGATGCGATGGTGCCTGCGTATCCTCAATTTGAGGAGGAGAATCTGAAGAGGCACGAGCTGGATATCTTCATATGAAGAAGCTTTAGTAAGTGTGACTGGCTATGCCGCCTTCTTTGATCGCGAGACACGATAGGCGGTGACTCCTCGGTGTATAATGGCAGTGTAGGAACAGCAGTAGGGTGTTTGTGTTTTTGGCCTCGGTAAGCTAGGGTTCTGCCTCGCCCCTTGTTTGGGAAACGAGCAGATGTACATCAATTGAGCATTGAGCGGGGTCTGTTAAACATCGGAGTCTAGGTCTGCATAGCCAATCTGGTTGGGAGTAGGGACGGTGGATAGGCGGCAGATGCAAATGGTAAAACACGTTTCTTCAACGCCTCACGGTCCGCTGATTGCATCTAGGCGCTGTGGGATATGGAGCAGCCTCATAGGATTAGGCGTTGTGAATGTGCTCGTCTTGCCGATTGCAGTATCCCATCAGAGTGCCGAGTGAGACACAGGTGAGTGCTGCCAAGTGCGCTCGTTGGGCTGAGTTCGCAGGAGCATTTCCCTTGTACCCAATGTGCGACTAAGTGTGGCGGCGCATCGCTCGGGATTTTAATCATCCCCCACAGCAGACGGGTACAGCCTCAGCCGTGCTCAGATGCGCACAAGGCTTCCTCGTCGAAGCGCGCAGGGTGGACTGTACTCCACTCCCAGACAGACGATCGCCATGCACGCATGTGAATCCAATACTCGTAGCGCAAGGGCGCGGTGGCCATGGCAAATCTTGCCCCGGCGTCCTTTGGCCACCTCGCACACGCGTGCAGCGTCGCCATGGAGAGTGGACGCGTAGCGTGTTAGTCGTAAGACACCCACCGGCTACTGCCTCTATTGGGAGGACGGTGGACGATGGTGATTTTCTCGAGTGGGTAACGTTCGTAAGCTGAGCTATTTCGGGCTTGAGCGCGGGGCAGGTCCTTGATAGGCGGCACAGCTCAGCCTCGACGAACGACCCCGACGACCCAATCGACGCGCTCCCTCAGCGCAGTCAGCCTGCCGTGAGAGGCTGCGCGAGGTGGCACTTTCCTCTGAAGCTGCACCACGACGGCTCGGGCTCGTCTTTATCGTTTTCGTCCCGTTTGGGCGATTTGTGCTACCGCGATCCCGGTAGCCGAGCATCGTCGATAGACATACATACATGCAGCTTGATCGACTGGGTGCTGTCCCACGTCATCTTGTGTTTCCCCTCGTCGCTTTGCTTGAGTGCTGCTTTCCTACCTTCTCGCGTGTTATTTCTTCTGTGGAGGAGTAATTGATGTGAGCGTGATCATGGCGCTCGTTGCACACAACATGCCGCTTGCCTCGCATGGCTCGTTACATCAGGACAGGATGAGGTATCCGAGGTACTACGCAGGGCAGGGACACATCCACAATGAGCAAAACTCACCACCATTTATCTACACCGGTCCGCGGTTGCAAAGCGTGTCTGGTTCGCGCAAGGCGAAGAAAGTGCTTGGACTTGTTGCCCAGTTTGAGCGGCGCAGTGGAGAAGAGGAGGAAAGAGGTGGGCCGATCAAGGCACAGCGGACGCTGGGACTCGTCACCGATCTGCCACGTGACAGGAGATCGTGGAGGAAGTCGTCAAGCGGCGACTTCGAGCAGAAGCTCGCGCAGGCAGAGAAGGAAATCAGACGCTTGTCACGGATGCAGGATCTAGCCGTTGACCCGGACGAGGAATACGGTGCGACGGCGGACGACGAACAATCCGATGAAGAAGAGCACATCGATACTCACCAAATACCCCCGCAAGACGAAGAAGAAGAAGAAGAAGCATCCCCCCAAGACCCCGAGAAGCTTCCCTTTTTGGAATTGCCCATCTCGCAATCCCCCCAACAGCTTACCTTCCCGCGTGCACCCATCGAACTCGATGCCGGGCCCGACCACGAACTTCTCCTCCCACCGCGCCGGCCCCGCGCCAGACCGCACTCGTACACTTCGCCGCGTTTTAGCGATCGACCGAAGAACAAAATTGCTTCTTCACGCTCGCGGGGTTTGAGCTCGCCGCCGAACTTCTCGCGTCCATTGTCGGGCTTCGCGCCGAAGGTTGTCCCAGGGGAGCACATGGAGCGCGATCCGCTGAGCATACGGTTTAGTGACGTAGAGGACGACCCGCGGTCGCCGATGAGTCCTATTGGCGGCACCTTTGTCTCCAACGAGATCAAAGCTGCGCTCGAGAAACTCGAGATGGGTATTGGTAGGACGCGTGCGAACTCGCCCATGCCCTCGTCACCTCCTCCGGCGCCGAAACGCGCGAGTAAGCCGCGGTGGTCGAGTCTGCCTGTGTCGCTGATGAGGCTCGCGCATAAGCGGAAAAGTTCTAGGAATTTGGAGGACGGGCTTGGTCTGGTGGGAGGCAAAGAGAAAGAGAGGAAGCAGGTTGTTACGCTTACGGAGGAGAACCTGCAACGCTGGGAGGATAGTGTTGGGTACGTGCCTAAGATGTACAACCGGCACGGGTACGACCACTTGACAGCACCGGTTGAGTTGGATGTCGCCGTTCCGCATGTCAAAACGGCGTCCCCGCGCCCAGACGCGATAGCTCTAGCAGCCGCACAGGGCCAGATGCTCACCCCGCCGCTGAGCGTAGGCGTCTCCCTCTCGCCGCCTGTGTCGCCGCCGTTTTGGAGGGGTGATAGGGGGTGTAGCCCCATCGCCGGATTATCATCGCCCTCCTTCACGCCAACACACACACAAACACCTACCCCAACCCCCACTCTTTCGTCCCGACGCCCACCCCATCTTCCCAAACCTTCCGCAGCTCCACAACCTCCACCCTCCTCCGTCGCTTTCCCGACCCTCCCTCGCCGCATGTCCCCACTACGCGCCTCAGCCTTCGCAGTCGCTCGCCCAGCAGAAAGAGCTGCTTGGGCGTGCGCCGGCGCCTGATCAGCTGGTTACGTGCGCGCTTTGCGGCGAGACGGAGCATCCGAGTGCGTTTGCTGCGGTGTCGACGAGTGGGGTGGGGGCGGATGCAGAGGGTGTGTAGGGAGTGTGCGGTGTGGGGAGGGGATAGCAGTGGTGAGAGAGGGGAGAGGAGGGTGGTGGTGTAATACCGATCGATCGTTGATACGTTTCTTTTGTATAGGCTGGATGGATGGACGGATTGGCATAGCTTACTACGGCATATCATAGCATAGCATGGCGTAGCTTGGACGCGATGGGACGGACAGGATGGAGTTTGTGCACGACAGGATAGGACAGCATAGCATAGCATAGCATAGGATATACCCCACCCCACGGATAGTCTAGTCTAGTCTATTACGGTAATCTAATTCACTCAAGGACGTTAACTCCAAAGATATGCCCACACTTGCTCTGGGCGCTGTTCCTTTCCCTCCCTAAAGATGATGATAGCATGCCATGCCATGCCGACACCGAGCGAGCGAGCGAGCATCCAATCCACGCTCTACGCTGCAGGACGCACAACCCGTTCTTCTCTTCTCCCCCCGTGGAGTCTCATGGAGAATAGATAGATACATCCAGCCAGACTCTGCGCGAGAGCGAGAGAGCGAGAGAGCTAGATAGCGAGACAGCGATATCTCCAGCCTTCCTTTGCCTTTAGCACAAAAGAAAAGCTAAGCAGCGCTGCATCGCAAGGCAAGGCCTCTTTGCAGCGAGCAAGCGAGCGATATAGCGATATGAGCTCCATAGTTGAATCCCACGAGAAAAGAAAGAGGAAAGAAAGAGCAACGAAAGAGGAACGAAAGAGAAAGACGGCGCGTCGCAATCTGCATGATACTAAACTTCACAATGCAAAGCGAGAGCGCTGACGGAAGGGAACAAGCGAGGGCGTCGAAAACGTGTCTTGTGTAAAGGATTTAACGGATGGAATTGATATGCGTGACGTACTGTGGTCGGGCAGTAGGTTCCTTCTCCACCATGCAGGGGATGACAGCAGGCTGAATCCGCCTACTGAAAAATAGCAGACAACATCCAAAGCTAATGCCCAAGTAAGAGTGATAAAAGCTCGCGGCAGGTGGGTAACCTGTATACAGCGCTGATGGGTAATTACCTACACTTGAACAACACACATGCCTGCACTAAAGCCCTGCATCATGCCTTCAACAACATCCAGCAACAGCCTCGGACCAACCCAAACTGCACTCAACGCTGTAAAACACCTCCCAGTACCACAGTCCACGTCTCAAATCCGATATCCGCATCACATATCCTCCACGCTACCTCCCCCTCCCCCACTCACCACCCTAGCCGCAAACCTCCCCACCTCAGGCGGACTCACCAACTCCCGAATAAACCTCGGCACCGTAACCTCGCTCGCCTCCATAAGCGCAAGATGCCTCCTCCGCGCCTTCTCCTCGGCCGCCTCCTCCCCTTCCACAGCCCTCCTTTTCCGCCCGCGCGTCGTAAGCCGCCATCTTCGCGCGGCACGTTAACGTGGTCTTATTCAAAATACTCTGCATGCTAGCGAGGACTTTCTGGCAGGCTGTAGCGAGGGTAATTCGTGCGCTGGGACGTCGTCTGGGGAGCGCCAGCTCGGTGTGGACTTGAGATCTGCGTCTGGGGTGGAGGCGGCGTGCACGGCTTGGATGAGGCGGGGATGGTGAGGGCGGCGAACATGTCGCCTGTGCCGGAGAAGAAGAGGGGAGCTCGGGGTGTGTCTATGCGGAAGAGGCGGGGGGTGAAGTCCGAGGTTGCGGTGGAGCCGATGATGGTTATGTTTTTGGGGGGTGAGTCGGGCTCTTCTGGTTCGACGGGAGGCTTCGAGAGGGCCTCGGTGTCTGACGTTCTTGGTGTGGAGGAGGTTGGTTGCTCGGAGGCGCCATCTTTGGCGGAAAGTGAGGCAGGATGGGTTCGTGCTGGGTCGTCGGTAGGCGTTTGTCGACCAGATGCAGTGGTTGATGTGGGCTTTGATGGCGTACGCGATGGAGCACGCGAAGATACAGTCCGGTTATCGTGCGTTAAGCGGAGAGACGTGATTATTACGTGCGGTACTTGATACTTTTTGTGCAATACTTGGATTGCAGCTGCGAGAGAATCAAGATCGGTGATGGTCGTCTCCGAAAGCAGCCTGTTCTCTGATCAGTCTTTTGTCCAGTGATTGACTGTCAGACGGTGAACATACTCTGCTTCAAACTGGTTGGGCAGGATGAGGTCTGCGTCCCGAAGCAGTGTCTTGTATTCTGGGACTTCGTCTTCGGGTATGTAGAGCTTGCCGTTGTCGCCCATTACCGGATCGAGCACTGTCGAATGTTAGCAGACTGGGCTCGGAGCGAATCGTATGTATGATATAGCTTGGCTCTGCTGAACACATGTAGAACAGCACAAGTACCACGTGCTCTACGCTTGGATACCGCAATGCGCGCATGCATCAGCGCAAGTCCGTGAGGCCGCGCCAACTCACCCCAGAAGAAGCTCCCCGGTTTTGTCCCAGCATTGAACTTGATATCGCGTCCGATCTTGCCTATCGCCTGTACACAATGCGCACTAGGCATGTATCCGGTCAACAACACATCGAAGTTGTTCAGGTTCGATTGTCGCAGGCCTTCGTAGAGGTCGAGGATCTGGTCGGGTGAGGTTTTCGTGCCTTTGACCTGCTTGTATGCGGTATGATTGCCTGCGACTCTGTTACTGACTTGTTCAGGGAGGTACTTTAGACCGGGTACGGTACATACTGTAATGTACAGTGTTAATGGCAGACACGTCGCAACCCAGCGACTGCATAACAGACGTGACCATTTTGTTGCCCACATAGCTTAAAACTATCAGCTAGGGGCGTTCCCACTTGCGCGAATCACCTACCCATGAACCACCTATTCCTGTTAGTCGAGCAGCTTCGCGATGGATGCGCGTGACTCCTACATGGCTAGCGATCGCGAGCACGCGAGTCTCCGGTACCAACGCGTCCGAGGCCATGACGCAGACCGGAAGGGAATCTGAAGCGAAATAAAAGGGCAACAATCACGATGTAAGCGGAGGTATGGGATATATAACGTGTTGTTGATTTTTTTTCGTTATCTGGTAGCCGGACGCGCGATGGCGTCGGCGGGGTATTGGGATCTAACACCGATAGATACCCCACGGATGGCTGGACCGCGGTATCCCCGAAATCCAAAATTCCCGTAAATCGATGCGCGCTTCGCATGCATGCCAAAACATCACGCTGCCGTATCCGTAGCCAACACCGGGGTCATGTATCTCATATCCATATCGGAGAATACTATGATTCGCTCACTCCTCGTCACCGATCTACATACGTTAGCGCTATTCAAGAACGATGACCGTATTAAGGACTTACCTTAGGCGCAAGATAGAACTGCAGAAAGCTGTTGGTGCCCTCCGTGAGCGGGTACTCGACAAGCAGCGGCACCTCGGCGGAGAGCTTCAGCTTGACCTTATCGCTGAGTCCACTCGCCTTGCAGAAATTGACGAGGTACTTCAGTGAGAAGGTCAGGGCAACCGGCTCAGTCATTTCGATCTCGACGCTCTCCTTAGGGTTCTCGACATTGGTGTTGCTTCGGAGCTGTACCGATCCAGAACCAATATCACCCGTGCAGCTGAATTTGACACCTTCCTTAGATACTTCAATCGCAACTAGTCGCCAATTAGCTCTGTCCCATCTACGTACCAAGTGCAACCGTACCTGACTCCGATAGAGCGCTGAGATCGCGGCAGATGCGCTGGAATTCTGCAGCGGGCATCGTGATCATCGCCGAGTAGTCCGTCTCAGGAATGCCCAGATGCTCCTGGTCAATGTCCATGAGCTTGATGTCATACTCGCTGATCCTGTCCTGGCTACTAGACTCGAACACAATGTTGACGACATCCGGGGCGTCTTCGGCCTTTATGCTGAGAACATCATCGTTTCCTGCCGCGCGGAGGACCTTGGTCAGAGAACCAAGGTTGATGCCGAGAGCGATGTTTCGATCGCAGCGGAAGTTCGAGAAGGCGTCAGTCTTGAGAGACATCGAGACGAGAGCGACGTGGGAGTTGTCCATGGCTTGGAGGTTGATGCCGGAGTCATTGCAGTCGAAGTTGCAGTCTTGCACCAGATCCTTGATGGCATCGACCACCTATAGGTGTCAATTACAGCTCGTGATGATTGTTTCGGTACAAACAAACCTTCTTGAAGAGGTTGGCCTGGGTTAAGCGTGCTTCAAGCACTGCAGGACGATTAGCATGGCGAAGGAAAGATAGCTACTTGTAGGCATAGCACTTACTTGTGACGTAGAGTAGAGTTATATGATAGGGTCAGGAAGAGAGGAGTCGTGTATTGGGAACGCGTGGTGTTGCAGAGTGTAGGGTGGAAGTGAGCAAGAGGGCTGGCTTGGAAAGTTCGTGTAGCGACGCGCCTGACGCGTGCAAGCGCGACGCAATTAAGCTTGGGCCACCGAGAACCCCACTCACGTGTAGTGCTAACCTTATCCATCTAGGACGCATTATGAAAGCACGTTCAATTCAAATGTTGCATTGCGGTGACTCTACAACTTGTTGCTTGTGAGATACACAGAAAGGAGATTGACTTAGTCTCGTATAGTATCGGACAATGTCAACCACCGTGCCACCTTCCCATTTGCATGTCTGAGCACATTGAACTTGGTTTTGACATGTGTCTAGTCTGGGCTTCCACTTTTCAAGATCATTCACTATTTATGAACTGTCCAGTCTCAGACATGATGTTTGACATCAATCAATATTTATTGGGGTATCATCTTCGTTACTGGAACATGTAGATGCCCCGAAGCGACGCTACAGCTCCAGACCTGCCTACTCAGCTGAACACGTACTCGCCGGTAACACTGAGATCCTGGGTATCTTGACGCGGTCCTCGCCTATCTGCATCCAGCTTGTCCTTGAATATCCACAGGCGAAGAGTGGAGGGATGTTGCGATGAGCGAAGCGCTGGTTAAGCACAGCCTCCAAAGTCGGGTTTGCCTGGCCCTCGCATAACCCCGCCCACACATAGAGCACCATCGCCACATCCTCTATTCCGTAACTCTTGCGTAGCCTTTTCAGCCATTCCCTTGTTTCATGCCCGTACAAGCCCATAAAACAAAGTCCACGTCAGCACAAAGCCGCTCAACCCATTGAACACATCCCCAACCCACAGGTCTCCCAGCGGGCGGTGAAAGTAGTCGGCAGGCTTTCCGTCCGTGCGTAATGCAAATATCAGCGCCGATACGATGAATGATCCAACGAGGTAGAAGATGAAGCCTGGGTAGGACTCCAGCCCAAGTGTTCCTGCGGCGACGCCGAACAGAGAAGCGGTCAGACTGCGTATGTTCGAGACGGCCTGGTGGCAATGGTCAGAAAAGGGACAAGTGCGTCAAGGCAGATGTGCGCCAAGTGCATGGGGGGTTATGAGGCGTACCTGGGTGTTGTGTTGTACGCTAGTAACGACGATGGGGTTGATGGCCAACTCCCGTTCCTCGAGTGTGGACATGGTAAATGTGACTCGGAGGCGGAATGAGTGGTTATTGGAAAGAGCGAGAGTGTTCCCTAGATAGCTGCCGTGTGACTCTTACGCTCCAAGTGCGCGATATGTGGTCGGCCGAGGAGTCCTGTCGATATCGAGGAGGCTCTGCCAAGGTCAAATGCTGCGGCTCGTCAAACTGGCGGTCTCTAGGCTGCACGATACGTCCGAAACCGCGTGGAAGGGAGTTTTTGCCGCTGAGGCTGGGTTGCGTGGCGTCTTCGCACTTAACGGTCTTGTGAGTGAGCGGTTAGACGTTGTCGTCGTCCGTCCGATGCGCACCGTCGGTGGTGAGATTGACCGACTGCATGCGCACAGACCACCTAGCCAAACGTCACTTCCCTCTGCTCAGCTTGAACATTGGTTACAATTACGAATCACGATAATTCGCGCAGGTGCAGAAGATCGGCATCTAGTATTCTCGAAGTCGCGTTTCTTGGTTTGGCCAGCGGGATGCGCAAGGCTGGTCTAGTATAGGCTCTATACTAGCACGATGGTCTATGGCAAGAGCGAGTCAAAGCATGCTAGTATTCATGGGGTGTTCGGCAGCGGTCTGGAACTGTCGACGACTTTTTGACGCGTGGAGGTGATCGCTCTGCTGTTGATTACGAGGTGTCATAGCTCAGGTTTACGTTGCAGTGCATTAGGTAACGAGGTAAAGGGAGTGGAAGATGTTTATTCTCTATTCTCTCAAAACTCTAGTACCAGAACAAAGGAGCTCCAGGCTCTCTAAGGGTATGCTAGCAATACCAAATGCACCTTTTGTCGTTCCCGACGACATCAGTCGAGCGCTTCTATCAAACTCCCGTAATCTTCAAAGTAACTAGAAATCGTCAGTTGTATTCGTACTACATAATACACATTCTTACTTTTGTAAATGGAGCGGCAGAATGTAGCCAGGCAGCTGATTTGCCGTTCGTAAATACCCAAGTGCTTGCTGAAAGTACTGGCCGTTCATTCTTGGTGAAGATACGTTTCCTAGGCTCATGAAAGCCTCAGCAGCCTGTTCCTATGTGTTAGTGATAGCATATGAGGCTGGACGTGCATCGTGACTCACAGTAGATAACAGGTCGCCAGTAATTCTGTCTTGCGCACGAGCTGCGTCGGTTGCACGTCGCAGATATTCGACAGCCGGGAGTAAGATCCCTCGAGCTTCGACGTAATCGGACATGTGCAGCCGGCTTTCCGCTTCTGCGTTGTTTCTTCTCGCCTGTCTGTCTTCTTCGCTAGCAGAGAGTGACACAAACTGGCTCCCTCCACTGCTATTTGAACTTTGTTCGGAGAGATGGATTTTGGCAAGGGATCTCTGAGCTCGGAATAACCAGTTTCGACCGATGACTGTACAATGTAAGTGATGGTCGAGTAGAGTGTTTAGAGGGTTCTTACGGGTCAGAAGTTCAACGTCATCGGGGTAGACCTGAAGTAGCGTAACCGCTTGCTTCAGACACCAGTTCGCAATATCAGAGACGCCACCAGAGTCGGCATCAGCATAAGCCACGCGCTGAAATACACCAATGAGTGGCAACTGCCATTGCCTTCGGCTTTCATCTGGATGAGTGTCGCTAAATTCCAAAACAGCAGTGATGTTTCGAATGCTTTGTAGATGATCCCTCCAACTATCGTGGGCCGTGTCGAGAGATTCCGCGATGTGTTCGACAGTGGACATAAGTATGCTGACTGCATCTTCGTCCATTGGTATCAGATTCATCGGAATCCAAGTTCTTACAGGAAGACGTGTGGGAAGAGTTTTAGATAGACTTTTGGTATGACGAGGGGCCCAATATGGGTGGAAACGCGCGAAGAGCTGGCCCCAGAACTATAAAGCACGAAACGATATGTGACTCGAAGGAGCGTAAGAAGGGCTGTGAATCAACAGACAGAATATGCAGAGCAAAGACACGATATATGAAGGGGTGTATGGCAATTGGAGAAGACGAAAGAACCTTCAGCTGAAGATACAAGCTGCAGCCTTACCTACAAGGTGTGATGGCGAACAGCGTTAGACGTCTGTTCACGCGGAACTCCGGAAGTGAAGATGAAAGTAGCAAGGTCGAAACTTGAAGCCTCATGGGGTCACGCGCGTGGCTGTGGATATTATACCTGGTGTTCGTGCATAGTGTGTGGCCACTTCATATAGGGATCCAGTCACAGACAGTGTTAGGTACTGCCTCTACCATGACGCGGGATGCACGGAGCAGGTGTCTGACCGCTTCACGTAGAACGCCGTTGCATCCGTAAGAATCAGCTGGGATGCGGTAGAATGATCTGGGCATCCTGGGCTTCTACCTGACAATTGATTTAGTGTCAACGGGCGTGGGATGGCAGAGGATCAGATACGAGCTAACGGTTGCAAATGTCGGACCATCAGGCCGAGGCTGGAGTCGGCGACGCAAAAACTCCCGCCTTACCGAGCGATACCTCAGACAGGTTCACAATGGGCAACGCAGTTGTGTGTATCTGCGCAAGGCGGAAGCACCGGTGATTTACTAATCGCGTACCCTTCCCTGTTGGATGGCGCATGATAAGGCTGCGCTATAAACGTACGAGGTAGATCGGCCGCGCGAGGCCGCTCAGCCCTGCAAGCCGTACGAGCTTGAACAAGCCCCCGACACTGTGATTACTGCAATTGCGGAATCGGAATGAATGCTGCAGGGCATGCAGGTCGTCCTGATTGTCGACCCGTACACCTGGCTTGGACGCTGTAAACGCTGTGGACTTAGTCAGACGATGGCTCCCGTGTCGTAACCTGTGTTGGCACTTGAGGCTCTAAATATCTCGGAATAGGAAAGACCGGATACGGAATGCCGAGTATCCAGCACCGAGGCGCGGTATTGTCCACTCCAAACAATGAAGACGCTGCGACTGAAGATGAAATAATTGCTACATGTGCGCGCCCGCTCTCGTCTGTTGCATCAGGACGCAGGTGTGCGATTGCTCACGGGTAATGGTATTTCCGTGCAGTCGAAAGGGATATGTAAGCATCTAGCAAACCAGAATAATCCCCTAGAAGTCAATCTGTTGCTTTGAAACCATCTCCAATGCACTTCTTTGACAAACACACACACAGCACCGATCTGCGCGCGGATCTAGTGAAGAGCCCAGTGTACAATACCCCTAGGGCACCACCGCACGACGGTCGGTGTCCAGAACGCTGTAGAACCATCGAAAGCGCATTGCTATGATGCATGCCTGACGCTCGACACGCTGGATAACAAGTATCTTCGCGCTGTAGGTCGGGGAAGCAAGAGCGCGACGCGATGCGAAACCCTCGGTGACGTCGGTGTAGTGTGTCGGCGTCGGGAGGCGGTTCGGACGATTCACTACTGGGGAGATTGCGACCAATCAAACGGGCTAGGGCCCGTGTACTCGTACTACCCCGACCGTTGCACCCTACCCCAGTTCTACCGGGCGCGATCTCCCCTTTCCCCTACTGTGTTCAGACACGCATCCAACTGCACTGCTTCGTCTTCTCGTCCGTCTGCCGCTCGACCTTCCGACTACACGAACCTCCCGAATCAGCCGACTAGCTCACGCGCCTATTGCACGCACAAAGAAGGGTCAACAGGCGCATTCCAGCAGCGCCAACCACCGTGGGGGTTCCCGCCATGCGCTGATGGAGCTCGTTGTACAAGACTCGCCGCTGGCTGAGTATCTAGAGGGTCAGATTCGCCTCTCGCCCCGATTATGAATCATCCCAGGTTGACAGTCATGGCAGGCCAAGGTCGAGGATCAACACCACCGTCGCCTACGGGCTCGCCTACGCATAAGCACGCAACCACCAGCTTCGCGCCCCGGGGGCCGTCCACACTACAGTCACGCATACGGGATAAGCTGCCACAGCCGCTGCGGGTACGCGTTGGTCAGAATGGCGCCGCTGCTCGCATTCACAGTGCTTTCTCGGTATGGTGCGCCCTATCACTCCCTATTGCACCCCACTAATGCACTGCTAGAGAGCAGTAAATTCACGCCTAGGCCGCGCCGATAACCAGCGATTCCTCGAACACTTCCGCTACCTCATTGTCGCCTCTCAACTGCTGAACGAACCTGAACGCCTTCGAGCGACCGCCATCCCCCAATTCGCGGCCGCCGGCCCGCCAACCGAATTCCAAGTTGCCACTATCAGCGTGACAGGCGCAGCGTTGACAGCGGCGACTGCCTTCACGCTGGTATGGCTTATACATTGGTCGCGGGAGCAAGCGTCTGGCTTTAGCTGGGGTAGATTTTCCCTCGTGGTCGCAATCTTCGCCGCTGTGGCCACGGCATGTTATGCCTACGTGCGCCGGCAGTGGCTGCAGTACCTCCGCCAACAAGCCGTGGAAGGTGCTTCGGCCCTGGTCACAAATCTTCAGGCGTTCGAGGCCTCAACGTCATCCGCGCTCGCATTGATCCAAGAAGTGGAGCTTGTTTCAAGGGGCTACCGACTGTGTGTAAACATTCTGCCTAAACATTCTGCTACCCCGCTGACAACGTTCCAGAAGCAGCCCTCTCCCTCCAATCTCAAGAATCGAGGAGACAGGCCAAGCCCGTCGTTGCCACCGCCTTCGTCGAACGCTCCATGCCGCATACGCCGAGACCGTACCTATCTTCCTCGACCAAAGTGGAGTTCTTAAGCAGCTGGTCGAAGAGGATGATTTAGAGAGATACCTTGACGTGTACGACGTTAGCAATCCAGATCTACAAGATGCCGCGCAAGGGTACACTGAGTCGGAGTTTGAGGACAATGAATCTCTGAAGGCGCTTCGTGTACTCCAATATCGCCTCTCTACGCTACGTCGGGTCTACCTCTGCTCACTACTCTCTTTGGAAGCAGATGGCGGCAAACCTGACTTTGCAAGGTGGTCGGCTGTAGTGGACTCCATGGTCATCCTGGCTGCCGCGGCTTGTGATTGGACCGAGAAATTCAACCGCATCGTTGCGGAAGAAGAACAGCCACTCCCGTCGCCTCTAAAGATTCACCCTACACCTCATCGGGAACGCATACGTAGCTCTGTTCGCAAGCTCAGTGGCTTATCCTCCGGCATCCGCGGGCTCCAGGCCAAGATGCAAATCCTCCGCGAAGAATCAAACAAGAGCTTGGAAGACTCCGAAGACGTAGGCGAGCTCGGAAGCCATCTGATGGCACAGTACGACTCGATTGGCACCGATCTCAAGAACCTCGTCCAAGCGTGGGAAGCGGGTCGAAGTGCTCTCGCAATGAACATAGACCGACACGAGCGTCGCGTATCACAAGCCTCCAGTGGGTTGCGATCGCCCGTGCCCAGTCTCGGTGGCCTAACCGCTGTTGATGAAGGCAGCCCCTCCGATGCACTCCGCGCTCTCAACGGCGAGCTGCTGAGCCCGCAGGTGTCTGCCCCAGCGAGCGAAGGAAGTAACTCCGACGACGAGATCTTCGAAGCGATTGCCATACCTAAGACTAGGCTGTCGATGACGAGAGAAGAGCGCATGCACAAGATCCAGGAAGATCGTGGGCGCCAGGCGTCAGCCCGCGAGGCAAGAGAAGCTAATAACAATGTTATGAAAGAGCTGGAGTCTGTGCTGAAGAACGCGAGGCCTATGGGGCGGATTGGGCCCGCGGGGAGAATAACGAGCATATGACGGTTTTTCTTTTCCCTTCTTTTCTTTTCATGATGATTGTCTTTTGGGCGACTCTCTCCCTCTCTCTTGCTCTTTGCGCAAAGAAAAAAGCCGCACTTTGGCTGCGTACCGCTTACGCTGTATTTCCTTTCCTTGTCAAGTTTTTTTCTTTGTTTTGTGGGTGTACCAGTACTGCTTTCCTTGGGACTGTGGAGCATGGAGCATGGCTGGAGTTTTAGCATAGCTACCTACGGGCTTGCTTTGGCGTCGGACTCGGATTCGGATTGGCATGGGTGGGTGGGTGGGTGGTACACTGTTTATTGCTTGCTTGCGCGTTTGCAAGAGATTGTGCCAACCACTTAGCGAGTGGTCCTTCCTTCCTTGTGTTAATATGTAATGTTTATGATACCATATACAGCAAATATATATAATGAATAAGAAAGCTGAATTGAAGTGGGGTTGGTGAGTTGGCTGCGTGAGATTTGTGGTGATGCTGACGAGGGTGGAGGGAGGTGTGCTTGAGGAGGTGGTTGCTGATGCGATCATTTGGAGGGAAGGTAGAAGTGGGTGTTCTTCGGGTGTTTAGTTGTTGTGATGAGGTGGGTTTGTAAGGAGGTGGTTGTTGGATGCGATCATTTGGAGGGAAGGTAGTAGTGGGTGTTCTTCGGGTGTTTAGTTGCTGTGATGGGGTGGGCCATCTGGTGGGGAGGGCGGGAAGTGTTTCTTGAGATGCCTAGGTGATATTTTATGCATTCATGCAGCAAACGGTTTTGGTTGTGTATTTGGGTTGCTGGTAGTGTGTTGTTGGGAGTGCGTTATTGGGAGTGTGTTATTAGGAGTGTGTTGTTAGGGTTGTATTATTCGGAGTGTGTTATTTGCTGCAAAGTCTTGTGGAGTTGCAACGCGGTAGGCGGCACGGCGGTTAGGCGAGAATGGTTGAGAATGTAACTAATTACGGGGTGGTACAGTGTCACGAGATGCGCAGAGTACTTGACTGAGACGGTAGGACCCATGATAAGGCTCGCGAGAAGGCTTCCCGGAATGTTGTCAGCAAAGGCTTGCGGTTGATCTGGGTGTGTCCTGGTATAAATTAGGGAAAGTAGTTAAGTCGAGACGTGCTTCAGCTGGTTCGACTCAATTGCATCATGATCAGTAAGACGCGGTGGAGGTTGCTTGAGTAGAGGTGCTAAAGTGTCATACAGAGTGTGGTCTGTTGTGAGCACAATGCCCGGGCAGTAGGCGATCACGTGGCATATAAAAAGAGATTGTTTCTTGTAGCAAGTCATCACGTCAACAGACATACTGCGGAGATGTGGAACAAGAAACGTTCTTTGGGAAAAGGGGATGCTTTGGTGGCTCATTATAAGCAGTGCGCTTGATAGAGATTACAATGCTGCAAGTGCTTGAATGGAGTGATGAGGAGTGTATTTAGGGACGTCATTTTTAGAGTAATTGTGTGATCGCGTTGCAGGCGCTAGATTGGTGTTGCTTGTGGGTACAGCATACGTACTTTGTACACCCTGCACCATCCCATTTAGGACAACATCAATTTCAAGAAGTGCATTCTTCCCCTTTGAAGATAGACACAGGGCCTTCGTGTCCACCACAGCCCCGATGTCGACTTCGCCTTGCATGCTTAACCTTATCGTCGAGAGGTCGTCTCCATCGCCACGGCCATTGCATCCGCACTGACTTGTTGACGCTGTAAGCTTAAGTTGTCGAGATCCATCGTCCTGAGGCTGCCACCGCACTCATTAACGTCACGTCAGCGACGTAGAGTCATTCCATGACCAAAATATCGGTCGTACTCTTAATTTTCAGCGGTCACAGATATGGGGTCGCGTTGTACGGCTAGGTCTGGCCAATTGACAAAACACGCTCATTCGCACGGAGGTCATACGCCGGTCGTCCAATCAAAAGTCTTTTGCCGAACGTGATCAGAACAATGTCATTTTCTTCTCGCGATGACAAGTCGACTTATCGCTACCTATTCCGAGTCCAATCTGACCCTCTGTCACAATCTATTCTCAAGCTACCTGAGAACACCATCATGAGGGCCATGAGGTGGACAGTTGCTGATGAAGATCAAACCATCCAGACCGAGCCCTTTGCGCCCTGGGAACACCTGTACCAGGACGTTATGCCCACATGTAGTACTGATTTAGCAACAGCGCGCCGGGTAGCTACACTCTGGGCCCGGTGGATGTAACAATGACCAATGATTGGTACAGTATGCATGCCGCATGCAAACTCTGTTCTGCTTCAAGGGACAACTTGTTCGCCGTACTCCGCGGCTCTAAGCAGGATTCTAGGAGCTTCGAAGCCTTTCGACTTCGTTACATGGCAGAGACGATTAGAAATGATGCTAAGATTTTGCTAGTAGGATTGATCTCTTGCAAAGCACTTGGACTTTGGAACAAATTCGAACTAGCGTTAAGGCATGATTCAGCGCTGCTCCAAAAAGAAGGCGAACCGTTAACATTTCTCGAGATATTCTCTACCGAAGATAGCCCGGCAATGATTCCATTGTGGAATTGGGTAAATGGCAATAGTCGACTGTATCTGTCGAATCGGAGTCGCCTTCCGATGCCATTCACTCGACCACAAGATTGTGGGATTAGGTAAAGTGTTAGGCACCCCTTGCGCCAGTATCTATCGAGCATCTGCAAGCCAAAATGGAATCGGGCTCTTCAGCCGAATAATGTCGCAAACATGCATCCATGCGTCTTGCTCGACCCATCAATGACGTTTCGATTCGCTTTGTGGTACCTCCACAATCGGGCCGTCTGCGATTAGGCATAATTACCCTGCGCGTTTGTGAGGACACGTTATGGTGTGTAATCGTTCTGACTTGTGGTATTGTGGTCAAACAGACTAAAGGATCGGGCCGCACCTCGCACGTTCCAAAGCGGGTCTGTTGGCAATTGTCATTTCAACCTCACTTCATCTCCATCCACTTCAACATCAACACAAGGCTACATTTAGAATCGTCTTCCCTGCGAACGGCCGCTCGCCGAGAAACATATGTTTGCGAGGTTGAACCCGAGAACAGAACAGTACCAGCAAATTCTGTCATGACGAAGTTTATTACCTAAACCACTACCTATCCACACCACAACTACCCTTATGACCTGCAATCTATCGAGGGCCTCTTCTTCCTTGCATTCTGGCCAGTTTAATCGGACAATACTGTCGCCCTCAACTTTGAAACGCCCCTTCCATTTGCCTCCTGCATCCCGGAGTGAGCACAGAAATATTGCAGAGAACACAGCAGACGAAATACCTCCTAAAACAGCCAATTTCCGTGCGACCTTTTGACAGCACCATGTACAGTCATATGACAACCGGCCGGGAGTTTACCTCTTACGACGTCGAAGTCGATTCGGTCGACAAGGCGGGGCCTCGTGCTTCTTACGTCTATGGTTAAGAAGAGCGTCGGAGCGCCAAAACTCCTGATAACACTCAGGGCATCTGCATTTTCTAGTTTCGGCGTGAGCGGTACAGGCTCGGGATCTCTGATGACGGGCCAGATTGCCCTTTGCATGGGCACCATTCAGCTGCAGGCCGCATGCACATTGAAGTGTGTACACCCCACCAGGCTGGGCGAAGTCATCCAGTACAAGATCCTCCCGAGCCATCATCCTCCTGGAAGCTTCGACATATGTGTCGTCAGCTGCCCGGGTTGCGTGGCTGGCAACGAGATGAGAAGATGATTGTAAGGCACTGTCCCACTTAGCATTTGATTGCATTCATTGTGTCAAAGACTTACGGTGAAGCAGGGACTCCTTCTGACACACAATCACTTCGGTCGCACGGTGGACTATCGACGTCCTTTGGTTGATCATACGAAGTGCACGTGTCATTACAATCGAACTCGTGCGTTGAGTCATCACTAATCGTCTTTGTTAGTAGCTATCTGTCGATCATCGATGTGTGACTCACCAGCAACGTGTTCGTTCATGGATGCTTGGGACGAAGGGAAAAGGCGATTTGCCAAAAGTATCAAGCAATTTCACCGACATCGATTCAGTCTTGATAGCGTATCCGTCGTCAATATATCGACTTGAAAGTGGCAGGTCCTGGTCTTCATTGATACCACTCCGGGAATCCATTGAGAAATAGTCTTCCTGGTCTGGAACCAGGTCGGCCGCAGGTAGGCCATGTATGGGTCGACCATGCGCTACACCTATGGGGCCTAAACGAGGACATCAGAGTCTACCAAATCAACAACGGAACCCTGAGGGCTGTTTATCATACGAACACTGAGGCTGAAGATCGGCTGACCATGTCTGTTGTCCACCTTGTGGGCACTCGTAAGCCATTGAATAGGCTACTGCTGGTCCATCCCAATGCTCTGTTGGCTGTTGTCCGTAGGGATCCCAATCATAAAATCCTCCACCCGCCATATCCTCAATCGATGTTCTAGGTGTAGCCAGCCCAGAGATCACAGGGATCAGTCTGATCAACTGCCGGTCCGTCAGATTGGGATTACTCGGATACAACTCGTTGGTCCTGGTCGCGAAGGCTGGGCGGAGCTGTTCAAACGGCTCTCGTGGGGAGGGACGTTGTCACGGCGAAGCAAGCTTTGACGCGGTTTTTGAAAGCTTGCTAAGTCGGTTTCGTTCTCTTGTCGTTCACTAGGCTGGCACCTTGTTCTCTACAGAGTGGGTCAGGGACGAATCGTCAAATCAAATAGCCGGTCCTGACGCGTTCCAGATGCGGAAAGTTTCATACCTGTGAAGGACAACACAGCACGCAAGCACAATTACAGAGACAGGGAGGTTCTTTCCACGCCAGTGACAGTTCCACTGTGCGGACATAGATGGTTTCGGTTCCAGGCGCGAGGCTACCCTGCTCTTGAAGCTCCAAGGAAACTGTGTCGACGAACTTTGCCAGCAGCCGGAGGACACTTAGCGCCACTCCCGCCGAGGTCACTGTTACCCGATGCTTCGTGGACATGCTCTATTCCTTGACGACAACGACCTCGTTATTGGTGGTGTTGGTGGGATATGCAGCCCGGC